GGGTGCGAAGGAGAGCGCCAAGAGAAGGGGCCTGTGACCCCTTAACTGAGCTGGAGCGCAGGCCTTTAACAGCCCTTCAGTACTGAGTCAGTCAGCTTTGGGATTCGAACTTCTGGTGTAGTCATTTCTTCATTCATTCTTTCAGCAACTGTTAATCTGGTGCTCAAGGTGCTGGTCATAAAATGGTGAGCACCGTCCCCCAGCCTTTCTAGAGATAACAGTCTAGTAGAGGAGATGCACATAAATCAAAGAATCATAAAAGTAACTGTACACTCAACACTACATTAAGTGCCAAGAATGAGAGGCATAGAGTGCTAAGACAGGGATGGCAGTTTGCCCTTGTCAGGGTATCTAGGACTGTTTTCCTGAGGAAGTGGTGTTGATTTGAGATCTGACAGAAGGGAGGTGGATATTCCAGACAGAGGTGCAAGTGCCCTGTGGTGGGAGGGAACTTGTTGCTGACTCTTGGCCTTGGGAAATTCCATTGTACAGGGAGGGGTGATAGAGGTCCCTTGGAGGGGGGGCAGTGCTGGTTGGAGCCCTCTTATAGGCAGTTTGGTCTTAATCTGAAGAGCAATGGTAAGCCCCTGGATGGTTTTAAGCTGGTAAAATGGTTAGCCAATATCCCTTTGGCTACAGTGGAAGCAGTGGTCCTGATGCTTGCTCTCAGGACCTCCTGGAGAGACTAAAGGGTGATGGGCCCTAAGACATTATCTATGCTTTTTCCAACACTCTCTAGACTTCAGTTGCGCTTCTTACTCCATTTATATCACTTAACAGCTAAAGGGGGGGCAAAAGACAGTACCTGTCTTCATTTGGGGCTTTTGCCTAAGTAAAAGTAGTATCCTGCTCATGGAGCGTACATTCTAGCAGGAACAGACAGATGACAAATATTTTAAAAGTTAATGATACAGTGTGTTGGGTGATGGTAAGTGCTAGCTATAAAAATAAGATAGGCAAGGGGGATAGGAATGTCCAGTTATAAATAGGGTGGTCAGGAAGCCCCACTGAGAAGGTGACATTTGCGCAGAGACCTGAAGGAAGGGAGGGAGGGAGCTCTGTAGTTAGCAGTAAAGAGCATTCCAGACAGAATAGCAAGTCTTGATGGGGGCAGGGTGGTCTGACATATTTGAGGGACAGTGAGGAGGACAGTGTGCCTGAGGTGGAGTAAAGTGAAACTGACACTTGAAGTCTCAGTGCTACTGGCTCACTGTGCTGGGCACTGACTAGATTATCTCATGCAGGCCTGTTAGCAACCAGCTAGGTGGGTACTACTGTAATCCTCAAGTTATACAGAAGGAACCTGAAGTATGAAGAGGTGAAGAGATTAGCCCAGCTATTTAATAGAGGAGTTCTGCATGACTGCAGGTGCACCCTCTTGGTCACTCTGCCCAGATGCCTGACACCCTCTGCCTTCTCCGCACATTGCTCGCTCAGCCTCCTTGGGACACTTGACATCCCATGTTCTTTTTTTTCTTCTTTTTTAAATATATCTTTATTGATTTCAGAGAGAGGAAGGAAGAGGGAGAGAGAGAGATAGAAACATCAATGATGAGAGAGTCATTGATCGGCCACCTCCTGCACACCCCCAACTGGGGATCGAGCCCGCAACCCGGGCATGTGCCCTGACCGGGAATCGAACCCCGATCTCCTGGGTCCTAGGTCGACGCTCCACCACTGAGCCATGCGTGGCCGGGCTACATCCCATGTTCTTGATATTTGCAGAGATGGTGAGCCCTCTGGCCTTGGCTCCAAAGGCCTGGATTTCACCTGGTTCCCTCTGCTTCTGTCAAGGGACGGCACCATTTGATTCCAGTACTTTCCTAGTGGATAACGACTGCAGTCATGCCACCTGGATGCCTCGGGTGTCTGGGCTGTGGTTCATTCTGCCCTGGGGAGATTGACCAACCTGACCTTTAAAAGCCTTTTAAAAGGTCATGGGTGGGAAAAGCCTTGTCTTGTGGCCTCTAAGCATGGAAAGTGCCAGGGAGGCTGGGGGCTGGATTAATCCTAGCCTGGAACATTCCAACTCCAGTCTCAAAGGCACCTCTCACCAACATGTTGTCTTAAAAGGTTTTAACTGGAAATACTTGCCCTGTTTGTCCCTGCAAGGTTTTAGTGGTACTGGCAGGGCCAAGCAGACATATTTTCCAGAACAAAAAGACCCCCTTCTAAACCACCTACTTGTGCGAGTCATGAGTTTATGGAGAGTTGGGCCCAAAGAGGATCCTTTCTGTGCTGGGGGGTTAATTGGAGCTCTCTCTTTACTTCTCTGCAGAAAAGTTTCCCGGCTCAGCCTGTAACCCTTCTGGACATCTATACGCACTGGCAACAGTAAGTCTAACAGTGTTGAAAGTGTGGAGTAGGAGAGATTATTCCAATCTCTCAGCTTGGAATAAGCTAGGGTACTAATCTGGTCTAAAATCTGTCCCCAAAGCCCACTGTAGACACTGTTATCGCCCCCAGGAAGCCAGGTCACATGTATGGGTGTCTGGTCGTTGGAGAGGACATTGAGAGCTGTTATCAGTATTGAATAACAATAAGGACAGAAACTTCTCAGCAATTTGTTATTCATTCAATCAATAAACATTTATTGAAAACTTACAATAAATGCCAAGCCCTTTTCTAAGCATGGAGATGTCATGAGACAGACATGCCTCCTTCTTTCCTGGAGTTGACATTGGAGTCAGGGAGGTAGGCATACATCAAAGAATGAAATGAATGAATGTGAAATTATAGTGGCAGTAAGGATTACGAAAAAGAGGTGCCTGGTGCCAAAACCACATAAACCTCATTTGGGGTTCTAGGGGAAGCTTCCCTGTGATGACCTTTGATTTGAAAGCTGCAGGGAGTGGGGGAGTGAACTAGACAAAAGGTATGGAGAAGTAGGTGGCATGTACGTAGCAGAGGGAACTGCTGGTGCTGAGGCCTGTAGCCATGGGCACAATGCAGATGAGGCTGGGCAATCAGGAGGACTCGCCCCATGCAAGGCCCGATCATCCATGGTGAGAAGTTGTGTCTTGATCCCAAGAGCAGTAGGAGCCATGGAAGGATGAAGCAGAGTGGTGAGGTCAATCTGTAGCCTGGCGAGACTGGTTGGGGCTGTGGACATCATCATCCAAGCAAGAGCTGATGGGGCTTGAGACAGGAGTAATAGGACGTAGGAAGTGGGTTCCAGGAGTATTCAGGGATGAAACCAGGATTTATGGATGGGTTGGAGAGGCAATCTAGTTGAATCACAGGTATCTGGCTTGTGCATGGAGCTGGAAAGGAGTCTGATTTAGAGGGAAAAAATTCAAGGACATATTGAGTGTGAAATGCCTGTGAAACATGTAACATTTAAATACTTAAGGACTGGGAAATAATCCAAGGATGTATCAACAGAGGAATGGTTTGAGAATTGAGGGAACAATTGTATTCTCTCCATGCACTACTCGGACCACAACCAACCAGGTGAGTGAAGGACCTGGAGTCATGTCCCATTGAGAATACTGAATTGTCCAGGATGGAAAAGAGATGGCAAAGGGGCAGGTGAGGGGACCACTGTCTGTACATCTGTAAGGGATGTGGCTGTGGCATGTTCTCTGGGGCCCTGGGAGATTGAAGTAGGATCTGTATGTACCTACTTTAGGAAGAGGTTTCAGCTTCTGAATACAAGTGCGTAGTTATCAGAGCTATCCAAAAATTAGGTAGGCTACAGTGGGAGTGGTGAACTCCCTGTTATCAGATGTATGTAAGTAAAGGCAGGAATGATATAGAAGAGATCCCTGCTTCCAAAGTCTTTAAAAGCCCAGTCAGCCCTCAATTCTTGACTCTTCTCTGTTGCCAAAGCAAGCACAGGGCACACCCTGCACTTCCTCTCTCTCACCCTCTCTGACTTGTCCAGGTGTCTTGGGTATTAGCCACAGCACTTCCTTCCCCGGAGACCTGCTTCAGTGATCTTCACCACAAGCCCTTCGCAGCCCCTGGCCTCTGTGGATTAAGGGGTACTGAGTGAGACGGGAAATTCATACCCACTACAGGAAACCTAGCCTCGTGCTTCCTGGCACATTCAAACCGAGCAACTAGCTGTATGACCATGGACCAACGGTTTCCCTGAGTCTGTGTCTTCATTGTAAAATGAAGATAATAGTAAATAAAATGCTAAACCTGGCCATCAGAGGCATCCTCCCACCCCCAATTTATATAGCACCTACTATGAGCCAGAACTGTTCTTGATATAACTGGGAACCAACAGAGAACAACTCCTTCCCTTGTAAAGCTTGCATTCTTTTGGGATGAGAGAAGCAGAACAATTGATAGATGTAATAAACGAAACCTGTTTTTAATAGGAGATTCTCAACGGGTGAACCTTCCTGGGAACCAGGGACCTGAGTAGCACACCCCAAACTGTGGCAGAGCAATATCTGTGGAAACTGGAGAGCAAGGGCTGTCTCCTCCGGGTGAGAGGGTGGAGTCAAAGAAATGATACTTGAAAGTTCCAGGGACTCAGCCATCTGAGTGCCTATCCTACCAATCAAAGACCTACTCTTTGATCCTGGGCAAGTCACTTAGTTGTTCATTTTTTGAAAAGTGTGCTGTGCACTAAGGATACCGTATTGAGCTGGAAAAGGTTCCTGCCAGCCCGTCCCCTCCCCGGACCGTACTGTGTAGTGAGGGTGTCAGGCAGGGAGTAAGTAAAATAACAGGAGAGAGAAAAGTGCTCTGAAGAAAATGAAACAGGATAACAGAGCTGAGAATATCTTGGGGAGGAGGGCAGGGTGATCAAGGAGGGCCTCTCTGAGGAGGCTGTGTTGGAGCCCAGGCCTGAAGGACAGGAGGGCCTGGGCAGAGTCTTCTAGGAAGAGGGCACTGCAGGCGCTGACAGTTCTGGAGGGAGGAGCCTGGATGGCTCTGCGAAGTGCCTGCAGGTGCTAGCACCTGTCATTCAACGGCTGTTAGCTGCTGTTAGTATGTCATTGACCATTCCTGATTATCTTGAAGACTACTAGACAATTATAAAAAACACTTTATGAAATGAGTGAAAATGTAGAATTTTAACTACACACTGTCTTCATCGTTGTTTAAACTCTCTCCTTTTTTTGGTTAATCCTCACCCAAGGATATTTTCCCATTTTTAGAGAGAGTGGAAGGAGAGGGGAAAAGGGAGAGAGAGAGAGAAACTCAATGTGAGAGAGACACATCGATTAGTTGCCTCCTGCACACACCCCTCAAACTTGCAACCCAGGTTCGTGCCCTTGACCTGGAATCGAACCCTCAACCCTATGGTGCCTGGGCTGATGCTCTAACCACAGAGCCACACCTGCCAGGGCTGTTTAAACTCTCCTTATTTATTTTTTTAAATTTTATTTTTGTTTAAAATATTACAGGTGTCCCTCTTTCTCCCCAATGACCCATTCCACCCTGTCCCTCTCCCCACCATTGTCCGTGTCTTTGGGTTGTGCAAATATGCATATAAATTTTTGGTTACTCTCTCCCCCTCCACCCACCCACCCTCCTCCATCCCTCTGACATTGCTCAGTCTGATCTATGCTTCCATGTCATTGAATCTATTCTGTTCATCAGTTTATTAAGTTCTTTAGATTCCACGTATAAGTGAGATCATGTGGTTTGTCTTTCTCTGCCTGGCTTATTTCTCTTAGTATAATATTCTCCAAGTCCATCCATGCTGTCCCAAAGGGCACGAGATCCTTCTTTTTACAGCTGCGTAGTATTCCATGGTGTAAATGTCCCACAGCTTTTTTATCCACTCATCTACTGATGGGCACTTGGGCTGTTTCCAGATCTTAGCTATTGTAAACTATGCTATGAACATGGGGGTGCATATATTCTTTCTGATTAGTGTTTCAGGATTCTTAGGATATATTCCTAGAAGTGGGATCACTGGGTCAAAAGGCAGTTCCATTTTTAATTTTTTGAGGAACCTCCATACTGTTTTCCATAGTGGCTGCACCAGTCTGCTTCCCACCAACAGTGTACTAGGGTTCCCCTTTCTCCACACCCTCGCCAGCACAAGTCATTTGTTGATTTGTTGATGGCAGCCATTCTTACCGGCGTGAAGTGATACCTCATTGTGGTTTTAATTTGCATCTCTCTGATGATTAGCAACATTGAGCAAAAGAAATGTTTTTATTGATTTTTTTAGAGAGAGGAAGGGAGAGGGAGAGAGATAGAAACATTAACATTGTTTGCGGGTAGTTTTTATCGCGCGCTCTACTACCAGTCAACGTAAAACGTATAAATACGTTTCCCGCATACAATGTGTTAATGAGAGAAACCGATTGGCTGCCTCCCGTAAGCCCCCTACTGGGGAGCCCGAAACCGGGGCATGTGCCTGACCGGGAACTGAACCTGTGACCTCTCGGTGCATGGGACAACGCTCAATCCACTAAGCCACACCAGCCGGGCTAAACTCTCTTTATGCATATTTTCTTTGGAGAGGTGGGAGGATGTGGGAAGGTCTTTCTTTTCAGATATCCTGGAGTGGTCCTTGTCACCAGTTGGTACAGCCAGTCTCCCTTGTCCTGCAGAACCTCAGAGGTTGGCCGGAAGCGGAAGGCAGAGGAAGATGCCGCACTGCAGGCCAAGGCGGCCCGGGTATCAGACCCCATTAGCACCTCGGAGAGCTCCGAAGAGGAGGAGGAAGCAGCGGTAGCTCAAACCGCCAAAGCCTGTAAGAGCCCTGCATGCTGGGTGCTGCTGGGGGGCGAGGGGGCCTCCCATCGTTGGTGCCTGTGAGGCTCAGCCCAGGGCCCAACACCTTTTGGGACCAGGCTCTTAGGTAGTTGATTATTCCTGGGGGGCTGCCTCTAGCTTCTCCTTGCACGAGCCCAGGGAAGACCAGGACCTTTTAGGCAGAAGATCAGAAGGGCCTGCCTGTCTGTTTCAGTACTTATTTGAGCCATCCCTCTGTGCCAGACATTGTGTCCCCAGTGCCTTCTTGGTAGCATGCAGCGGTACTGTGAGCCAGCCAGTCCTTTCCTCTGGGGGCCTCTATCTCGTCACCAGGCAGTCGGAACTCCATCGAGGCTGCAAACATGTAGCTTTCATTTGGCCTTTCTCTCGCTCCTGGTGGATGTGGCTAATGTACCCCAGAGTTCTTTCCCACAAATCTGGGCTCAGCCTCAGATCCTTATCCAGCCCCAGGCAGCCACATCAGTTCTTAGGTGAGCGGAAACCTGTTTGCTGCTCTTAAATAAGAAAAGGCTCACTTAGCTCATCCAGTGGGTGTTTGTGTTTTGTAGTCCCAAGACCAGCATCCACTAACTCCTCAGCCGTGGGGACGGTTTTGCCATCAAGCGTGAAAGAAAAAGCTACGGTGAGTAGGACCACGTTCCAAGCTGTTACCTGTAAGAGTGCAAGTGCCCTGTAGGGGACAGTCTCCTGTGTCAGAGAAGGACAGGGTTGTGGTTAATTGCCTGGATTCAAATCTCAGCCTGAGTTACCAGCTGTGTGATCTTGGTGAGTCCTTCCACCACACTGGGCCTCAGTTTCCTTTTCTGTAACAATAATTATGAAATAATGATACTAACCACAACAAACTGCCACTGACCACTTAGTAACAACTGTGTTGCCAGAATGGGAGCCTGGTTCACTTCACATTTCTGTGAGGGGAGGCACCATTATTAACCCCACTTTAAAGGTGAGGAACCAGAGAGGTAGGGAGGTGATTTGTCCAAACTCACACAGCTAGGGAGTGGAGGAGCTCGGTTCAGGTGTGGTCTGTTCTTAGTTCACTGGACTGGACCCTACTTGTTCTCTGTAGGCAAAGACCAAGAAAGTCGACAAGACCGTGAACTCCACACCACACCCTGCCTCCGGGAAGGCAGCGGCCCACCTCCTGTCCGGCAAGTCACCCAGAAAGTCAGCAGGGCCCTCAGCAAACACCATCCTGGTATCAGAAACTAAGTCGTCGGGCAGTGCCCCAACACACAGAACCACTACCAGACCTGGTGAGAAGCACCCTGAGTGGGGCTGGGGAGGCAGGCCTGGGTACTGCTTTGTCCAGTTCTGGGACATTCTGGAATTCAGAGGCTTGTCTCCATGACGAGGGCCCTTCACCTCAGGCCATTTTCCCCTCCCCTTGATGAGGGACAGTCAACCACAGGGATGCATCGGGCTTTGCTGAGGAAGTTGAGTGGCCTGGGTGGGGGTGGAGCATTTTCTGGTTTATTGCTCTCAGGTAGGTGCAAGGGCCACCTCGGAGGCTTAGATACTAAACTGAGAGGCCTGGGTTTGCCACTGTTTCTCATGTAAAATAGGCGTTTGCCCTGCCTGCCTCAATGGTAGAAGGAGATTTTTCTAAGCTGGCTGCCATGTTAGGACCTATTATACCCTTAGCAGGGCCTCAGAGGTGTGCAGAAACAGGGATATGAGTAGAATGCACCTCAACTGTGGAGCTTCAAGAGATGGTGGAGCTGAATGAGGCTCGAATGCTCAGCACCTGGCTCTGATTAGCTGGTGTGGCGGAGTGAGGGTGGGTCTGGGAAGGATGGCCTCAGTACCCTCTCTGTTCATCCCTTAGGAATAGCATCAGTGAACCAGGTCAACAGCTCCAGCGAGGATACCTCCAGCTTAAGCAATGAGTCGGACGTGGAGGTAATTGCAACCCACCCTCAAGAGCTGCCCCTGCAAACCTTTAACCCTCCCAAGAGCCTGGCTTCACAGACCAGTGGGACCAGATCAGTTCAGCAAGTATCAGGGTGACCGGGAGCTGGAAAGGCTGAAGCTCGGGGAGGGGAGGGGATTGTGTGCTGTGCATTGTACTCTGGGCCTGAGAAAGGTTTAGGGTTGTTGGGGAGAGGAGCCATTTGTCTGTGAGATAAGGAAGGCTTCCTGGGAGAGGTGGCACAGGGCCTTGACTTATGGGGGCTTCACCAAAGGGGAGGAATGTTGGGGAAAGGTGTTCAAGCAGGAAGAGCTGCACAAGCAAAGGCCCAGGGATAGGCGGTGGCTGTCCTATAGTGTGGTCGGGGAGAGTGGGGTGAGTTTGTTGAAGGGGTTCTGAGCCCGCTGGTGAATGTCAGGCCTAGGCGCTTGGCCAGAGATGGGCAGGTCTTAGTCTGGGGCCTTGTGTCTTCTCTGAACTGTGACTGGGAAGTCATTTCTTACGGTACATCTGCCAAGTGCCAGGCCTAGGGTATAGTGGTAATAAGGTAGAAAGGCAGGGCTCCTGCTACTGTGGGGAAGTGGAGGGTCCTTTAGAAATTTACATTGGTGATGGTTGCTATGACGGGAAAATGTAGAGAGCCATGAGGGGGAATGAGAGGAACATGACGCAGACAGAGGGGACAGCATGGGCAGTGACAGAGACAAAGAGAGGCTGCTGCTTTTAAGGAATGCTGATCTACAATTTTGTGAATGAGGGGGAAAGTGATGTGAGGTAGGCTGGGCAGTCAGGCCAGATCCACTGACCAGGAGGACCACTAGGAGGAGTTGGGGTTTTATTATCAGGGCGTGAGAAGCCATTGCAGGGTTTTAGGCATGGAGGTAAGGTGATCCGATTTATGTTTCAAGAAGTTCACTGGTTGTGGCATGGATTGGAGAACAGAATGAAAGTAGTGAGACTGTGGAGGGTCAATTGGAGAAATGCTGGCAGCTGATACCAGGGGGCCCAGTGGAATGATATTGGGAGAGGAACCCAGCAAGATTCAAAGATGGATTGATCTGGTTCCCAGAGTACTTCCCCCCTCTCCTCCTGCCTTCCCTAGTAACCTGTGAAGGTGGAGGCCTCACCCGCATCTAGAGCAGGCATAGCTTCAGGTGCTGTCCACTTTCCATCCCCACCTTTGGGCCCTAGATACAGCTAGCCATAAGGATGCCCTGGGAAACAGCAGTTAAACACGTGACCTTGGGGGCCAGAGGCCTGGGTAGGGCTCCAGCAGCAGCAAGGAAGGGTTTGGGATTGAGGAGATGGCTGCCCCAGAAACCCAGGGTCAAGTGAGGTCTCACTGACAGAGATGGAGGTAGGGCATTACCTGCCTTGGACGTGTCAGACTTTCAGAAGTCTAAGAAAGCCTAGAGAGGGAAAGAATGTGCCCAAGGCCCCCCAGCAATCCAGTGGCAAGATTGGTGTTCAGATCCTGGCCCCCTAGCCCTCGGGATGGCCACAGCAATCAGATGCTGTAGTTGAAGAGGCAGACGAGGATTGCTTTCCTAATGGAGAGAGGCTGCCCCCTGTGTGCTAGACCCTGTGTCCTGGGTGGCAGAGGAGCACAGTGGTTGAAAGTTCTGCCCCCAAAGTGGCACAGACATGGTTTCAGTCACTGTTCTGCCCCTTAATATTAGTCTTGAGTAAGTTAACCTCTCAGAGATACTTGTCCCTTCTGGAAAATGGGTGTGACAACAGTATCTGTCTCGGGATTATTTGAGGGAGCTTTATAAACTGTGGAGCATCTTGTACCCTCCTGGGATAAGGATTATAATTTCCTAATTCCATCCTCTTGATCCAGGTGAAACCACCACAGGTCAAAGCTTCACCAGCCCCTGCCAAGGAGTCTCCAGGGAAAAGGGCAGCCCCAGCCCCGGGGAAAGCAGGGAATGTGGCACCCCAAGTCAGAGGAGGTGCCCCCACCCTAGCCGGCAGGGCCAAGAAGCCCGAAGAAGACATGGAGAGCAGCGAGGAGGACACCAAGAGTGAAAAGAAGGCCCCTGTGGGGAAACTCAACCAGGTGAGGCCCAGCAGATGGCTGCCCCTTGTGGTCTCTTGGTCCCCACAGCCTGGGGCTGTACCATGGCACCCAGCTGTGTAATGAGCACCTCCCCTGCAGAGAGGACTCACCTTGGGATTTAGGGGGAGAGGAGTGAAACTTTTGAAGGAGAAGGGGAAGGGAAAGGGGAACTGGACTTGCTTCAGCTGCCTATGGAAATGGCCCTTCTTGCCTAAGCAGCAACCTAGAGTGCTGCTTCCCAGAGAGAGGTACTGTACCCAACTCTGCCATAATTCCCCTTTACCTCAGTTTTTCTGTCTAGGAAATGGGCTGCTAATCTTGCTGTGAAGGGACTTGAGTAGTTTTCATTGCTCGGCCCTCTGGGTTCTCAGGCCAAATCATGGCTTCATAGCTATCAACAATTTGGTTCCCTTCTATCTGTTGGGACCCCCTCTCCTGGGTGGGTAGCCGGGGATGCAGCCCCTGAGGCTTTGGTTACTTCCCAAGGGAAATCCAGAGAGGCTGGGAAGCTGTTGGAATAAGAGAGGAGAGTGGGAAGAGGAAGGGTCAGACAGTGTTGGTAAAAAGTCGTGGGAGCCCTGAGTTCGTCCAGGTGAGCCCCAGGAGCCAAGGTCCAGGCCTGAGGCAGGATGGTACCTGGGAAACGATTGATAAATGAGATAGACTTTGCTAGATGTTAGTGAATGCTAAAGAGGAAAGCAGGGAGGCATGTAGGAATGGCCATTTAAACTAGAGTGCTCAGGGAATGCCTCACAGAGGAGACATGTGTAAAGGCTTGAAAACCTGGAGCAAAGGGAGGGGACCATGTGCCATGTGGAGAGTCATTCCAGGCAGGGAACACAGCGAGTGCCAAGGCCCCAACATAGGAGTAGGAGCGAGAATTATGACAGATTCGAGTGTGCAGACCCTGTCTACTGGGGGAAGCTCCTCAGCTCAGGTCAGTTTTGCTGTGCCCAGCGCTACCCCATGTTGTCTGGCACCCATTTTTCAGAAAGAACCCAAATGTGGACTTTTACCTAAAACCTACTTTTCTCCATATTGGTTCAAAACTTTGAAAAAGTAGGACCCATAGCCACCCTGCCAAAACCCTGAGGCCACATCGGAGCCTGAGACCAGCGGGAGTCAGTTAGTGGGTCAGTGAGGAGGAGGCCAGGCTCGAGGGGCCTTGCCCCATGAGGCCAAGACGCCTCCCAGGGGTCCTCGTGCTGTCCATGTGTAGAAAGCTCAGGGAGAGCCTCACTCTGTCCCCTCTTCACTTTTGGACTGCCTCTCTGTTCACCACATCCAGGCTTCTCTGGTTCCTCCTTCCCTCTGGGCCTTTGCGTGCTCCCTCCTCCAGTTCCTTCCTCCCGCTGGGCCTCTGCATGCTTCCTCCCCGGAGCCCAGTCAGATACGAACTGGGGTCAGCAGCACTAAGGGTGCAGCAGCCGACACGGTGGCTGTGCTCACAGAGCTTTCTCGTTGATGGAGCAGCCCATCAGGGACAGGCTATAGCACCCTGAGTGCAGGGCAACTGTGGGGCAGTGCCGGAGCATCAGGGACAACTGTCATAAGCAACTGGTGTCTGTCTGGGACCCAGAGGAGGAGTCCGTGATGGCCAGGTGCAGTGTGCCTCAGGAATTACAGAGTGTGGCACTGGCAGGGCAGGTCAGAGCATCAGTCAAAGTGGGGAGTGAGGAGAGAAGCAGGGGGTCCTGAGGGCCCCACTACGGCCTCGGCTTTATCCTGAAGGTGTTGCCAGAGGGTTTTCAGGAGGAAGTGAACCAATTGCCCTTTCTCTTTTCTTAGGGGAAGGCCTCGGGGAAAACCCCCCAGGTTAAAGCTGCCTCAGCCTGCATCAAGGAGTCTCCTAGGAAAGCGGCTGTCCCAGCATCCCCTGTGAAGGCAGGATCTGCAGCTGCCCAGGCCAAGGCAGGAAGACCAGAGGACGACTCTGAGAGCAGCAGCGAGGACTCAGACAGTGAGGAGGAGGCGCCAGCTGCCAACACCTCCCTTCAGGTGAGGCCTGGGAAGGAGAGCCCACTCCTGTGCCCCGCCCCAGAAGGCATTCTGGAGACTTGGTCTCCCCTGCAAAAGAGCCCCAGGCGTGCTCAGAGCCCTGCTGCCACCCCTCACTGTGTGGTGTGATTGTGAGGTGTTGTTAGCCCCATGTGGTCTCCTGCCTCTTCTCACATCCACCCTCTGGGCTTCCTCCCCTGATTCTGCTTCTCTTGCTCTAGGCAAAGCCCTCAGGGAAAGCCACCCAGGTCAAAGCTGCGTCAGCTCCCACCAAGGAGTCCCCTAGGAAAGCAGCTGTCCCAGCATCCCCTGGGAAGGCAGGATCTGCAGCTGCCCAGGCCAAGGCAGGGAGACCAGAGGACGACTCTGAGAGCAGCAGCGAGGACTCAGACAGTGAGGAGGAGGCGCCAGCTGCCAACACCTCCCTTCAGGTGAGGCCTGGGAAGGAGAGCCCACTCCTGTGCCCTGCCCCAGAAGGCATTCTGGAGACTTGGTCTCCCCTGCAAAAGAGCCCCAGGCGTGCTCAGAGCCCTGCTGCCACCCCTCACTGTGTGGTGTGTGTGATTGTGGGGGGGTGTTAGCCCCATGTGGTCTCCTGCTTCTCCTCACATTCACTCTCTGGGCTGCCTCCCCTGATTCTGCTTCTCTCGCTCTAGGCAAAGCCCTCAGGGAAAGCCACCCAGGTCAAAGCTGCGTCAGCCCCCACCAAGGAGTCCCCTAGGAAAGCGGCTGTCCCAGCATCCCCTGGGAAGGCAGGATCTGCAGCTGCCCAGGCCAAGGCAGGGAGGCCAGAGGATGACACGGAGAGCAGCAGCGAGGACTCAGACAGTGAGGAGGAGGCGCCAGCTGCCAACACCTCCCTTCAGGTGAGGCCTGGGAAGGAGAGCCCACTCCTGTGCCCCGCCCCAGAAGGCATTCTGGAGACTTGGTCTCCCCTGCAAAAGAGCCCCAGGCGTGCTCAGAGCCCTGCTGCCACCCCTCACTGTGTGGTGTGATTGTGAGGTGTTGTTAGCCCCATGTGGTCTCCTGCCTCTTCTCACATCCACCCTCTGGGCTTCCTCCCCTGATTCTGCTTCTCTTGCTCTAGGCAAAGCCCTCAGGGAAAGCCACCCAGGTCAAAGCTGCGTCAGCTCCCACCAAGGAGTCCCCTAGGAAAGCAGCTGTCCCAGCATCCCCTGGGAAGGCAGGATCTGCAGCTGCCCAGGCCAAGGCAGGGAGACCAGAAGACGACTCTGAGAGCAGCAGCGAGGACTCAGACAGTGAGGAGGAGGCGCCAGCTGCCAACACCTCCCTTCAGGTGAGGCCTGGGAAGGAGAGCCCACTCCTGTGCCCTGCCCCAGAAGGCATTCTGGAGACTTGGTCTCCCCTGCAAAAGAGCCCCAGGCGTGCTCAGAGCCCTGCTGCCACCCCTCACTGTGTGGTGTGTGTGATTGTGGGGGGGTGTTAGCCCCATGTGGTCTCCTGCTTCTCCTCACATTCACTCTCTGGGCTGCCTCCCCTGATTCTGCTTCTCTCGCTCTAGGCAAAGCCCTCAGGGAAAGCCACCCAGGTCAAAGCTGCGTCAGCCCCCACCAAGGAGTCCCCTAGGAAAGCGGCTGTCCCAGCATCCCCTGGGAAGGCAGGATCTGCAGCTGCCCAGGCCAAGGCAGGGAGGCCAGAGGACGATTCGGAGAGCAGCAGCGAGGACTCAGACAGTGAAGAGGAGGCACCAGCTGCCAATACCTCCCTTCAGGTGAGGCCTGGGAAGGAGAGCCCAAGCCTGTTCCCGTCCTGGAAGGCTTTCTGAGGACTGTCTCCCATTCCACAGGAGCCCCAGGCATGCTCAGAGCCCTGCCCACCCCTTCTTACAGTGTGATGTGTGTGGTGTCATTTCCTGTGTGTTCTCTTGTGTGTCTTTACATCCACTCTCTGGGCTGCCTCCCCTGATTCCACTTCTCTCACTCCAGGCAAAGCCCTTGAGGAAAACCACACAGGTTAAAGCTGCCTCAGCTCCCGCCAAGGAGTCCTCTAGGAAAGGGGCTGTCCCAGCACCCCCTGGGAAGGCAGCGCCTGCAGCTGCCCAGGCCAAGGCAGGGAGGCCAGAGGAGGACTCTGAGAGCAGCAGCGAGGACTCGGACAGTGAGGAGGAGGCTCCAGCTGCGTTGCCTGTAACTTCAAACCTGGCTCAGGTGAGGCTGGAGGACACTACATGGCCTGCGCCCTGCCTGCAGAGCCACCTGTGGACTTGTTCTCCCCTCTGCACCTAGAGCCCTGGTGCCCCATTTGCCTACTCACCTTCTATCTTTCTACACACATATCCCCTCTGTGGGTCCCCTGCCCTAACCCTGTTCTTTGTCACTCCCAGGCAAAGCTCTTGGGGAAGAACTCCCAGGGCAGAGCCGCCTCAGCCACAGGACCATCTGGGAAAGGCACTGTCCCAGCACCTGCTGGGAAGGCAGGGTCTGCAGCCACCTTGGCTCAGGCCCGGAAGCAGGAGGAGGACTCTGAGAGCAGCAGCGAGGAGTCGGACAGTGAGGACAGTGAGGAGGCGCCAGCAGCTCTGGCCTCCACCCAGGTAAGGCCCCTGCCTATAAGGCTCTTTCCCCCACTCCATTCCCCCCAGTGCCAGAGCCCTGTCAGTCTCTTGTGTCTGCACACAGACATGCTTTGGGCTCCCTCCCCTGACCCCATGTATCTCATTCCAGGATAAGTCCTCTGGGCTAGTTCTCAGGGTTGGATCTGCCTCAGGTCCCATCAAGGGAGCCCCTCAGAAGTCAGGGCCTGAAGCCACTCAGGTCAAGGTCAAAAGGTCCAAGGAGGGCTTGGAGAACATCAAGGAGGAGTCAGACAGTGAGGAGGAGGCATCCTCAGCCATGACTCCAGCCCAGGTGAGGTTGCAACATAGCATGACCCTGAGTGGCCCCACTGGTCGGCTCCACAGGGAGCTGTGGGGAAGGACAGCAGTGAGCTTCCCGCCAGGAGAGTGGAGGTTCAGAGTCCAGGATTCTAACTCCTGTGTCCCCTCAGGCAAAACTGGTTGTGAAAACTCAGATCAAGGCCTCCCCAAGGAAGGGCACTCCCATTACCCCTGCATCTGCCAAGGTCCCTGCAGTGCAAGTGGGTACACCAGCCCCCTGGAAAGCAGGAACAGTGACTTTGCCAGCCTGCATGTCATCCCCAGCTGTGGCCAGGGGCACCCAGAGGTCAGGGGAGGGCTCTTTAAGCAGCAAGGAATCAGAGAGTGAGGAGGAGACAGCTCCTGCCATAGCAGGGGGACAGGTGAGGCCAAGTGTGCTTGGCTGACTCGGGCCCGACCCCCTTGTGGTCCTTTGAGTTCCTGTGACAGTTCTCTTCCATGTCATTCTAGGCTAAGTCTGTAGGGAAAAGCCTCCCAATGAAAGCTACCTCAGCATCCAGCAAAGGGCCCTCAGGGCAAGGCACCACCCTGGTACCCCCTGGAAAGGCAGGGCCTGCTGTGGCCCAGGTCAAAGCTGAGACACACAAAGACTCAGAGAGCAGTGAGGAAGAATCAGACAGTGAGGAGGCTGCCTCGGCTCCAACACAGGTGAGGCCTAGGAGAAGCCTGTCCATCCTAACCACATCAGTGCCTGGGACAGGGCTGAGGATGTGCTTGTCTGAGCTCTGCTGTTGTCCCCAGGTGTGCAGAAGTCTCAGGGGCAGTCACCTCAGCCTCATTCCCCACTCTACTCTTTTGTCTCCTGCCCATCAGGGCTCCCAGTCTCCTGCATGGCCTTTTGAGCTCCCACTGAGATTCCTCATGCTTTCCGTAGGCTCTTTTGAGTACCCCATCTTCCAGGTGCTCTCCTATCTGGAACTCCTGTGACCCCAGACCTGAGTTTCCAGCCTAGAAGGGGGGCATGGACATGTACACAGATTATTCCAACATGGTGTGATAGGGCTGAAATAGAGAGTGCGTACCTGGGCTAGCAGAACACAATCAAGGAGTTTTTCAGGAGGGAAGGCCTCTTGGAGGAGGTGGTATCTACACTGTGTGCTGAGTTGGCCAGGTGGCATGGACTGTTCCAGAGAAACCCCAACCTATGCAAAGGCCAGGGGTGGGAGAGTGCCTGGCTTGGGTGAGTTACCCCAAGCAGAGCATTCTGGTGGGATCACTGGGAAGACGGTGTAGGAAGAGCAAACAGTGAGGGGTTGGTGCTGGGGTTCAAGTCCCTAAAAAGTGATGTAATCCATCAGGGCCTCTGTTTACTCCTCTCTAAATTGGAAATCAACCCTTACAGCGTTGAGAATTTAACAAAAATCTCACCTGCCACACCTAGCAAGGGGCCTGCACACAGCCAGCTCTCATCTCCCTGAGGGTGATCAGGCTGCTGTGCAGCAGAATCAAGTCATCTCCCAGCCTGGAAGAACTGGGAGAAGTGAAGATAGCTCACTCCCTGCACTCACCCACCCACCGTTTATTATTTTTAATTGTTGCTTTTTTTTCAATAACCACTCAGAAATTAGTCATTTCTCTTTTCCCTGTACCAGAGCACACATTTCTTTGGATTTTTTTTTTTGTCCCCCTCTCAGTTACCTTGTGGGACCCAGGGCCCTGTGATTCCTTCACTGAGGTTTTAAATTATACATGGGCCCTCCTGAGTCTTGGCCTAGCAGGCTCCTACCCCTTTTTCCAAGCTGTGGACACATTCCAGAGCAAGTTTCAGTGTGCCGATCACTTAAATATTTGTCTTCCCATCTGAGCCTCCCAGCTATACCATGGGTGTTCATTTATGTTGGTTTCTGGAGAAGCAAATTGGAGTTTAACAGAGTTGTTTGGTAATGTGCTCCAGCTCAACCACCCAGTGAGGGTCAGAGCTGGGCCCGGGCCCCAGAGTGCCTGCCTCAAAAGCCTGTTTGCCTTTCTCACTTTCTTCTGCCACATTTTGGCCAAAACTTTTCCAGCCATAGAAATGGCTATGGTTTTGGGGTCTTACTGTTAAACACTGTGGGTAGGCCTTATTATTATCCCTATTTTACAGAGGACGACACTGAAGCCCAGCAAGGTCGGATGGTGTGCCCAGGTTCACACAGCTATTAAATGGAGGCGCCAGAATCCAAACTCAGACATCCGACTCCAGAGTCAGTGTTCTTGGCTGACATCTCTACCGCATTTCACCTTTTCCCTTCCATGTTTCCCTTTTTCCTTCCAGGTGAAGGCCTCAGTGAAAACCGCTCAGACCAAAACCAACCCCGCTTCCACCAGAGTGGCTTCAGCCAAAGGGGCAGCATCAGCTCCTGGGAAAGTGGTCACTGCAGCTGCTCAAGCCAAACAGAGGTCCCCGGCCAAGGCAAGTGGGACCAGAAGCCCCGGAAGGTGCTGGGGATGGAGCAAAGAGCCCTGCACAGGCAGAGCCACGTCGCCACAATCACACTGTGGGTGGGGTTTAACCTAAAAAGAAACTGCTGTCCACTTCTTTCCTCAATACCTTCACCTCCTCACAATTTAGGTAAAGCCACCCTCGAGAGCACCCCAGAGCAGTGCCGTCCCGGTGAGGGGCCAGGTGTCCATGCCTGCTGTGGGGAAGGCAGCAGCAGCCCAGGCCCCAGGGCCCGTCAAGGACGACTCGGAGAGCAGTGAGGAAGAGACGGACATCGAACGGGAGGCACCCACTCCGGTGAGGCCCAGGGAGGGCAGAGAGCAGCCCTGTGCTCCCTCTCTGTCAGGAGCCCCCGCAGCACAACTACGTGTGCCCATCCATCTCCTGTGTCCCTCTGCATTCCCTGCCCTGATTCTGTTTCTGTCACTCCAGGCAAAACCCTCAGGGAAGATCACCCAGGTCAGAACTGCCTTGGCCCCCACCAAGGGGTCCCCCAGGAAAGGGGCTGCCCCGCTACCCCCTGGGAAGACAGGACCCACAGCCGCCCAGGCTAGGAAGAGGGAGGAAGACTCAGAGAGCAGCAGCGAGGAGTCGGACAGCGATGGGGAGGCTCCGGGAGCTGTGACCCCAGCTCAGGTGAGACCTAGTGAGGAAGCAGCTACAGTGCCAGGCCACCGCTGCCCATTCTTCGGTCAGAACTTGGGCTCGGGGCCAGGTAGGGAAGGAAGACCGGGTGAAGGCTCTGCCTCCAAGATGTCTTCCACGTCTCCTTCAGTGGCACCTTCTGTAAAACTTCCCCAAACCAAGGCCTCCCCGATGAAAGGTGTCCTCGGCACTCCCGTAGCTACCAAGGCATTCACAGTTTGAGTGGGCACACCAGGCCCATGAAAGGCTGGGCCAGAAACTCCCACCAAGGCACTTGAGGCCAAGAACCCAAAGATGTCACAGGGTCATGGAGGAGGGGATATGAAGTCAGTTGGGTTGGTTAGCAAAGGACAGCTGTCAGGCAACAGTCACTTCTAGTTGCTTATTACCGGTAACATTTATGGTGGAGGCCTAGTTGCCAAACTAAGATAACAAGGATCCCAGCCATATTTTGGCTTATGTAGCTTTGTTTGTTTGTTTAAGTTTTAAATGAGTTGCTGTATCTATAAGGATGTCCTAATCTATGGAAGAAAGCCTAATTCATAAGAGTTTAGGTAGTAAGGGGATTGGTTATCTCATGGTGTACCAAGTCCCTAGAGTGAAGCTACTGTAGAGATGGTTCCTTCCCTCAACATTACTGGTGACCCAGATTTCTTCCAACCCTGCTCCACCTGCCTCATTGTCACAACAGGGCTGCATCATCTCCTAAAAAGCTAGGAAATCCCCCAGCCAACTTCCCTTCACCTTGTCTTCTTGTCCAGATCTAAAGCACAAGCTCCCTTCACCCTGCTCCCTCCCAAAGCCACTCACTGATGAGGGGGCTGCAGTTCCCATGATTTGCTGGGAGAAGGGGCCACCCTTCCCAAAGCCTGGGGTGGGGCCCACCAGAATAGAGCTGGGGTTCTAGCTTCTGAGAAATTGGAAACAGCCTCACTTTGCTGGCTGGGCTGATAGTGATTGGTGGGCCTTCACTGCAGTCAGGAAGCACAGAGCTGCCTCCTGCCTCTGCCCTGGGCTGCCCTCGCTGGTCACCAGCCCCTGCTCCTCACTGCTGTCCTCTCCCTCCTCCTCTAGCCCCCCAACTGCAGATTCTACCCAGCCGGCCCCACTCATTTATGCCAGGCCTGGCAGGAAGGGTGGCAGCCATTGGTACACTTAGCCAGCTCCAGCTCCTGCTTTTAGCTGGGGTGTTACAGCCAGCTGTGAAATGCTGGGGCCACTGGCTCACCCCTGCAACTTCATCCATGCTACTGTCACCTGTCGTTCAGATGCCCGGCCAACAGCACTAAGTCCTTAGGTTTTAGCATCTTATCCATACATCCCTTTCAAGTTCAGAGTCACTCTGGCAGGAAGATAAGCAGAGTGAGGGCCTGTGTTTCCGGTGTCTGTGGGCCATACTGGGTCAGCAGCCCTTGTGTCTGCTCATTCATTCTATCTTCCCCCCTCTCCGGCCACGTGCATGTACATAGGGAGGGGCTGCACTGCCTCCCCGGGGTTGCTGTTGCTGGCCGTGGTTTCTTGGTTCCTCAGTTGTGCTCCCCCTCAGCTAACGCCCCATTTCCCCCATCATGTGCTTGTCCCGTCAGAAGGAGAGTAACTCCAAAACTGCCAAAAGCAAGATGCTGGCTCCAGCAACCCCAGAGAAGAATGCTGAAGATTCCTCAGAGAGCAGTGACGAGGAGCTGCCAGTGAGCCAGGTAGGCCGAACCTTCTCTCTGAGGATGCTGCAGGCTCAGAGCTGGGCTGCGGGCCTGTGGGGGTCGACAGATCTTTCCCATTTAAACAGCACTTCACAGTCTCCAGAGCTCTTTCCTCTATTTTGACACATTTGTCTTCACAATAATCCCTTGGGGTAGGCCGCAGAGCCAGACAGTGCAGGGTCAGAGCCGGCTGTCCCACCACCAGCCCCGTGATGATGGGCACGCCTAGCCATTCTGAGGCCCGGGAGGCTCAGCTGTAAATAGGTGGGGTAGCATCCTCCCTCCTGTGTCTGTGCACTGGTGCAGATCCACGACACCCTGCCTGAAAGCAAGCCCCTGTTCCTGCAGGAGGGCGGGTGGTGGGTGGTGTTGCCCATTTGATATCAGGAATCAAGGCCTGACAAGTTAAAAGGATTTCCCAAAATTCTCATGACCCATAGAAGCTGAGGAAGGGCAAACACCAGTCCTCAGGCTCCCCATGAATCCCTGCTTCCTTTTGAGACCAGGAATCTTCTCTACATTGCTCTTTGGAATCCTGTGGGCCTGGCCCAGAGCCACTCAAGCCCCTGTGGCCCATCCTTACATGCTCTGCAGTTTCCGTCTTCCTCCCCAGATTGTGCCCCGAGGGTAGGACCAAGCCCACCCGTCTCCCCAACTCAGAGGCCCAAGCCTACTGGGCTGGTGTCCAAGCTTCCACGTGAAGCCTAGGCCATCTCACAGATAGCGCTGCCCTATGTCCACTAGCCCAAGCTCCTGGAAACTTCTGCCAGGCCCCTCAGAGATGCAGGAGTTCTACAATGCCTAGACCACTATGGTCTCTATCCATCTCCCCTTACATGTCACACCATATGCTAATCGATCCATCAATAAGGTCACATGCTGCCTGCACACTCAGGGATGGGCTCACTCAATAGCACAGGTCATAAAAAATAAGGCCAAACAACTACAACTAGCATTATAGGTTACTTCCTGTGTGCCAGGCTCCGTCCTAAGCCACAGATGTCCATTATTCAGTTGCATCCCCACAACCAGCCTGTGAGGAGGAGAGGTCCTTCCGTTATCCCCATTTTAAGGAGGTGGGAATGAGGCTCAGAGAAGGCAAGTGAACTGCCCCAGTGTGACATGGCTGATAACAAGGACCTGGAGTCAGAACCCAGGCCATCCCCACTCTGGCCACTCCCTGGCCCTGCCTCTAGACTGCCCCCTCCAGGGAAGGAGGAGAGTGGGGCTGGGCACTGCCCTCTGCTCCGTGGAGCCTTTGGAGGCTGCCTCCTCGAAAATCTAAACAGCTGGGAGGGAGGGGGCTGCTTTGCCCTTCTCTGCGGGGGCGGACTAACACAATTAAAATGAACATCGTGCTTAAACTGAAACATTTAATTGGTACGTTAGTCCTGAAGATTCTGGAGTCCCTATTAAAAAAGAAGGAAAAAAAATCGGCCGCTTGTGCATTACCCCCAGGAGAATTCAAGGAAAAAGGCACAGCCTGGGGACGCTGCTGCCTCCTCCAAACGGGGGGATTTTTAGCTCCTAATCCTCAGCTCACTAATTATGATTATTATCGTTATTATGCTTTTATTGAGCATTTCTCTATGGACAAGTTTCACTCTGTTTTTATTATTAGCCCATCAGTGGGGGAAGGGGATTGATGCCAGGATGGTGCGCAGATTTCCATGCTGGGAGGTGGAGAGGGGATTGTGGCTCTGTTCCCAGGCCCCCTCACTGCACCTCAGTGTCCCCACCTGGAGGGGATGGGGCCCACCCTTTTGCTTTGAGAGAGACTTCAAGGGGCTGGTCCATGGCTCAGCCCCTTGTGCTGACATTAACCCCAGTCCAGGGACTGTGTTTGGGCTTGGTGTAGCTACCGAATTAAAAAGACATAGGCCCTGCCCTCAAGGTTTCTGATTGAGCGGAGAGAAAAAGAAGACCTGAAAGAAACCAAATTAGGGTGTTAAATAAGAGGTTTAGATGGTTGGTCTTGGAAGGAACTCCTGCCTGGTCCCTGCAGAGCTACCAGCCCTGGCCCTGGCACCAGTTTATGGGTCACCCTGTGTGAGGCCACTTGCTCTCTCTGAGCCTCAGTCTTCTTATTCTCTGGGGGCTTGTGAACCCTGGAGGCTCCAGGCCACATCCCCAGCGAGGGAGATTTCTCAGTCTACTGGGATGGGGCAGCCCAGAATCTGTTAACCACCCCCAGACAGTTCTGAGAGAGACACTTGGAGAAGAACTGCCCTCTGGAGCTCTGCCACCTTGGGTGCATTCATGGCTATGTCCCTTGCCCATGGTCAGCAGCCTGGGCTACTCAACTACCCCCCTCTGGCCCAGACTGGAATGAGGGCATGGTTGTGATGAACTCAGCTTTTACACAAGGTGGTGAGCTCTGCCCCCAGGTTTGGTTCTGCAGACGTTAGACCCTAAGGTAGGAAGGGAGTCCCTGTGTTCCCGCTGGGCCCTTACCGCCCAGCGCCTACATGCAGGCACAGCCAAATGTTCAGGCTGTTTCCCATGAGTTTCTTCTAACCACCACGGAAGGAAGGCCCTCATCCCCCCATGTGTACTGTTTTGCAGTTTCCAAAGCACACCAGAGCCCCTCTGGTGAGTGAAAGGCAGCTGACATTACTAACAGCCCTTTCAACAGTGGGAAACTGAGGCTTAGAGCTCAGGGGCTTGACCCCACTGTAAGGTCATGGCAGAGGTGGGATCAGAAACAGGTCTCAGCTGTGGTCCCCTTATGCCCCTGTACCCCCCCAAAGCCTGGGCCAGGGCAGGCGGCGTGGGCAGGCGGAATGAGGAGGAGGCGGCTTTTGCTACTGAGCTGCTTTTAACATCCCAGACGCTATTGTTTGCCTCGGTGGGTTCGTTGCCTCTCTTCATCCCCAACAATCTGTTCCTCTGTCTTCTCACATATATATAGATTCCCCTCCCTCAACTGTAAGCCTTCTCCCACTTTCATCCTCTCTCTTTCATCACGTGGGCAGGAAGGCTCTGGAAGTGGCAGATCAGAGCAGCCGCGGGGGAGGCTGTTTGGCAGGGGTAGGAAGGGCCCGAGCCCAGCAGAGCTTCCACCCTCAAGCGTCACCTTTCTGCTTTCTTTTCACTTTTCCTCTCCCCCAGCACCCTGAAGGCGAGGTGTGGAATCAGGGAAGGTGGGCAGGGTGGTGTCACGGTGGAGACCTGAGTCCCAGACCATGGCCTTGGCTCGTCCCTCCTGCTACCTTTCATCTTCCCCGCTGGCCAGAGAGGGAACAGAACTCAGGCCAGACCTGACTTTTGGGGAAGGGAAAACAGACTCCCCACTCCCTGGCTCGTGGCTACATGTGTAGCACTTGCGGTTGTCACATTCACCAGAGCTATGGTTCCCTGACTGGTCTGCAGAACACCAGGGCACAGCTGCTGCTTTTTTTTTCTTTGAATGTCTTACTGGAAAATTTAAAGCACACCTACATAGACCAACATAGAGAACCCCCCATGTGCCCTCCCAGGCCTCAGCCCATTTCATCCAAACCCTCCACTCAGTCAATCACTTTTTTTTTTTTTTTAAGCATAACCGCAGTGTATCACACCTAAAAAATTGACCTGCCCAGTTGATGTCCTCATTTCCCACCTTGTTTCATGAATGATATTTTTTATATTGTAGTGGGTCCAAATAAGGGGTGCACCCTGCTGTGGTCCTCTCTGTTAACCTGGTGGCTTTTCCCCGTGCAGTTTACATGTTGAAGCCACTGGGCGATGGAGCTGGGTTGCTCTGTCCTAGGTCACGTGTGAGGGGGCTGCATCAGAATCTGGGGTGGGGACAGCTAGACTGAACAACTACCCAGGTGGATGTATCTCAGGAGGCATCTGCCTCTGAAGTCAGTTGCGGCAAAAATCAGAGGGGTTTTGGGCAGCTCTTTTCCCCTCTCTGGACTTGTAGTTTCCCCATCTGTACGATGGAGCTAATCCTGCCGACCTCGGGCTCGTTATGAGGGTTAGATGGGCTCCCGTGAGCTGTGAGGTGCTGTGCTGGGAATTAGCAGGTGCCCGGCTGAGAGTGAGCTGTGAGTGCTCTGGGCAGCTGGGATGGCCTCTGTATAGCTGCCCCAGCTCTCAGGAACCCCTTGCCTTGTCAAACCCTCCCCTACCCCATCTTGCCCTCCCCCTGGCCCAGCTTTTAATCACTGGGTGGGTGTTCTTTGTTTTTGTTTTTCAAGGTGATTAAAACCCCTCTGATTTTTGTCGACCCTAATCGTAGTCCAGCTGGTAAGGCTGCTACCCCAGTGCCAGCCCAGGCCGCAAGCGCCCCGAGGAAGGCCCAGGCCTCGGAGAGCACAGCCAGGAGCTCCTCCTCCGGGAGCGAGGATGAGGATGTGATCCCTGCCACGCAGCGCCCCACTCCAGGTGAGCGGGGGCCTGCAGGGGGGCTGGACCCCGCCGAAACCACAGGCTCAGCTGGGAGGGACCGCGCACGCCCAGAAGGGAGAGGATGCTGCCGGGTCACCGGGCCAGCTGGTCAGAGGGGCTTCAGGCAAGGGCTCCGGGCACTGCATTGGTTCGATGAGGGGCTGGCTCAGGAGGCATATTTGCCGGGACTTCTCTGTACTGGTGCCAAAAGCTTGAACCCAGACCAGCGGCTGCACGTAGCAGGGACCAAGTTTCTACATAGTCTAAGGAATCAGTGGGAGATAGGACCACATTTGGGATTTCTTTGATGTTCGCAAATTTGTGATTCTACTAGTGATAGCAAGAAAATGGTTAATTATCTTCTTTTTATGACACTTTTTGATGAGAATATTAATACCTAATTTTGGTAGGCTAATGAAGAAATACAGACTAGCACAAAAGAAAAAACATTACCTATAATCCCACTGCCTGGAATAATTACTGCTAATATTTTACAGCTGTTAATTTTACAGAAACCTAAGCCATACCTGTGTTTTTAGTGAGACCATGATAATATTTTAACATTACATATTTACAGCATGATTCCTGCTTGCTGCAAAGCAGTCCTTTGGGTGGGCATACCATAGTTTATTTAGCCAGTACATGTGGGAGGAAGCTGAGAGTCACTTTTTGGGCTATTGGGGACTTTATACTTAGTGCTACAGTGAGCATTGTACACCTGAACCTTTGCAGATGGCCATGGTGATTTTCATGAGGGACTATGTTAAATACATGGGGAGTTTAGCAGCCAGGCCAGCTGAGTGGGAACATCATGGAGAATTGGAGTGTGGGTAGGGGCTGAGGAGAGAGCCAGGATGTGATCTCTGCCACGGAGTGCTCAACTCCCAGGTGAGCATGGGCCCGCAGCGAAGGGCTGAATCCCCTGCAATGCCCCAGCAGCCGTGACCTCCCTGAGCCTTTTAACATGGAGATTGTGACAGCTTCTGCTCAGAAGTCTTGGGGAGGGCATTACACAGGCTTCTGCCACATGAGCCCTGGCCACTGCACTGGGTTCCTAGGAAGGCCTGATAAATTGGGTGTTGCCACAGCTGGGAGGTCATGGGGTTTCTGTGTCCTGACATGCACCCCATCTCGCTCCATTTCAGCTGTTAGAACCAATGCAGTGACCGTGCCCACAGCCCACTCAAGAATAGCCCTCGGAGCTGGCGTTGGGGCCAGCAACAATGAAGTGTCCAGTCGGGTGACAAAAGGCAAAAAACAGGAGGCACCCACCACTCAGGTATGTGGCAGGCAAGGAAGGACTAACTATTTGGGCCAGTGGAGTGAGGGGACTCCCTGCCCTTCCCCACATACCCACATGTGCTGCTGGTGGGGCTGCAGTTGCTCTCACCCACTCCCCATCTCCAGAAGTAGCTGCTCCTTGCAGCCAGTGCTCTCCTGGTTCTCTGGCTACACCTGGTTACCTTTGAGTGGCTGGGAATGATAATCTGGGGACATGGCACTAGGCAGAGTCACTGCTGCCCCAAGAGTCCCTCAGCAGCACTTCCAACATGGTTAGGCTTTTGATTTTTTTTGGTCCCAGTTTTGACATGCCATGAATAAAAGTTGCCCTTTTTTAGGGTTCATACTAGTGACTTAACATCTCAGCCATCACCATTTTCAGTGTGTCTTTATTTGGTTCTTGCCTGAATCTAAAAACTGGGCAGGTAGAGTTAATGGCTCATTGTTTTGATGATGAGGTGGGGCCAGAACCCAGGTCTCTTCTGGCTCCCAGTCATTGCTCTTTGCGCTATACCCATTTATTTTCCTGTTTCCTCATGCTTTCTTCCTGAGAAGACAGGAGAGAGCTGGAGGAGGCCCGAATAGGAGTTGAGCGCCCCCAGCTCAGAGGGGCTTATCACAGCTGGGCAGGTATCTGGGCTGTGGTCACTGCATCCATTTAGCCATTCGGCCAGCAGATGGTGCTGAGCATCTGTCCATGCCAGGCACTGCGGCTGCAGCAGGAACAAGACAGCGGTCCCTGCCCCTGCCAAGTTCCCAAGTGAGTGGGGTGGCAGCCACTAAAGAAGGAAACCAAAAAATAGAACTGGTGGGTGCTTTGAAGGAAACAGTAATAGCTGGAGAATGGGGTGAGCTGCTTTAGAATGGATGGGCAGGATAGCCTACCCAAGCAGGTGATATAGAAGCAGGAGTAGCAGCCAGGCCAGCAAGCTGGGGAGCACTCCAGGCAGGAAACCCTGTGCAGGGACCCTCTGGGGAAGTGTGTGGGCATTAGAGAGCTGGAGGAAGTAGTATGGAGTGAGAGCTGCATGGCCGTCCGAGGGCAGTTGGGAGCCAGGAGGTTTACATCAGAGTCATGCCCATTTCTCTCCTCAGTTCTTTCTCCCTAATTGCTGGTAGGTGTGGGAAGCAGGAGTGCCATGAGGGGGACCCTTGGAGAGGCTGTTGCAGCCACTAGGCTAAAGACTTGTCCCCAGTGGAGGCTCAGATTGAGTGGTGGGGCTGGGAGTGTTTTTGGACCCTCTGAGAATGACGTGATTAGCTCATAACTCAAGCCTGACACCATTTCCTGCCCAGGTGGAGGCATACCCCCTTTGACCTCTCCTCAGTCACCACTCCAGCCCCATGGCTCCTTGCATATACAGGTCCCCTCCCACCCCAGCAAAACGGGATCTGACCAGGGTGTGGCAGAGATGACACCTGAGAACCCAGGGGTCTCAGGGCTGCCTTTGCCTGTCCACAGGTCACAAAGAAGAACCTAGCTAACCTCCCACTGACCCAGGCCGCCCTGAAGGTCCTTGCCCAGAAAGCAAGTGAGGCCCAGCCTCCTGCTGCCAGAACCCTGTCTTCAAGTGGGGTGAGCTGGAGAACCCCAGGCCCCACCCCGGAGGGGACAGTCATCAAAGACCACATAGGGCAGAAGGGAGGCCCAGGCAGGGGCCTGAGTCCCAGAATTGGCACTGACTGCCCTGTGACCTTGCACACATGTGCACTTGCCTCCCTCGGCCTCGGCTGCCATCTTAGAGAGCTGTGGGAGAGTTAGAGCCTATGCTCGAAGCAACCAGCACAGTGCCTGGCCCTTAACTGAGGTATTCAGTAAGCATCAGGTCTAATTTCCCCTAACTTTTCCTCCCACTTTTTCCTTTCACCAAATTAGAATGATGGTGCCCTGGGCACACTCCCTGTGGCAAGTCCCCGGAGCACCCCTGTGAAAGCCAGAGTGACCAACAAGCTCAGAAAGCCCAAGGTTTCTACAGTCCAGCAGGCCACAGCCCCTCACTTGGGACACCCCAAAGCCTCTGCAACCTCAGATGACAGCAACAGCAGCAGCAGCTCTTCAGGGAGCGAGGAGGATGCTGATAGGCCCCAGATGGCCCCGTTGGCCCACAGGCTGGGTGAGGGTCCTGGGTGGAAAAGGCTGGGTGAGAGTCCTGGGAGGAAAAGTCTGGGTGGGCCTGGAGGATGAAAGAGGTAGACTGGCAGAGGCCTAGGCTCAAGCCTCTCTGCTCTGTCTCCACTTGTTCTGCCACCTCGGCCTTGTCATCCCATGCTGGGCCTCAGTTTCCCCATCTGTACAACCCCTTGAGAAAGTTGGTCCAAACTCTGTCAAAGACCCTCTGATGTTGCTTCTTGACCATCCCGACTTTTTGGAATCGGGCTCCCATAACTGACCCACCATAATCCTAGGGCCAACCCAGCCCACCCCAGAGAAGCAGAGAAGTGGACTTCAGTGACTAGGACGGAAGGTTTGGCATTCAGGCTTCTTGCCTAGAATGCCGTGACTGTAGATGGGAGAATGAGGCGCATACAGAGGGACCCAGCCATCCCGGGCCAGGAAGGCCTCTGCCCTACCCAGGCGGCAGGGGGTATCTGGGACTCTCCACAGGATACCTGTGCTCCTCCAGCAGGTCCAGCACCCTCCAGGAATGAGACCTTGGTGGAGGAGACCACAGCAGAGTCCAGTGAGGATGAAGTGGTAGCGCCTTCCCAGGTAACAGCAAGGGGAGCTGGCAACCTCAGGGTCCTAGACCAGGAGCCCCAGGTCAGAGGTCTGGGTCCTTCCTCTTCCCAGGGACCCTGGGCAGGGTCCTGTCTGTGAAGCGAGCTGGTTCTTCCCCGAGGCCCCGTTTCAGCTTGAAGCATGAGCGGCTGACTCGGAGTCTGTAGGAAGGGCTCACCTTGACGTTAGGTGATTCCCAGATAAAAGCATTCTTTAACAGATGGGATTATTTTAAGGTTATCATCTGCACATGGCAAGCGCCAGTGATTTTCCATTTGCATTAGTAATAAGAAATTTCCCTTCTAAATGTGCCTGTCTAAAATGTGTATTAATTAAAGTAGCATAGGAGTTACACAGAAAGGGCTGGTGTCCCAACCACCCAGCCCGGCATGGCTGACCGGGTCTTGGGGGTCCCTGGGCTGGCTCCTCCACAGCAGGCCATGCTCTCAGGGCTGGGTGGGGTGGGGTTCTGGCCTCTTTCACACTGGGCTTCTTCAGTCTCTTCTCTCAGGTCATGTGCCTCCTGTGCTGACTCCAGCCAATTCCCAGGCTGCAAAGGCCACTCCCAAGCCAGATCCCAGACCCTCGGCTTCCTCTGCTCTGGCCACCAAAGATGTCTTGGATGGCAAGCGGGAAGTAGAGCCCCAAGCAGCAGCAGATACTGTGTCCCCTAAAACAGGTGAGTACAGGGCTGCAGGAAGGACACAGCAAGATGCAGAGGGACAAGGTAGCAGCTGCCTTCTTTCCCTCTCTCAGAAATACTCCCACCAACGTGGTCCTATCTGTCACCAGGGCCTCTCCAAGTGAGGCCTGGTACCCCTGCATTCGGCCTGGAGCTGCTCATCAAAATTTAGGGGGCCACGCCCAGGTGCCTTGCTCCTCTGGGGCAGCCTGGAAGTCAGGTCATCCAGCCCTGTGGGCTGCCAGTACACCTGTAGAGTGACCCTGCCTTAGAGGAAGAGCATCTTCACTTGTGGAGTATAGGACTGGGCTCTCTCTAGCTGACCCTGTTGACTTTTTTCCTAACAAATGGGCTCATGATGTGTCCAGGGAGTCAGGGACCTCACACAAAAGGCAGGAACCACACTTGGAGAAGTCTCTAGCACTTGGTAAAGACCGCAGGCAACAGGTTGACTTTCTAAAGCCCCTGGCCACTCTGGGACTCTGTGTCTTAACTACACAGTACAGGGGTTGATGCATCCAGTTGGTGTAAAGGCATGACACATGCAGAAAATAGTCACTTGCCACCAGGGACAGCTCTTGGGGTTCCCCAGCCTTGGTGTTCTAGGTGTTTGTAAACAGGAAGCTGAGAAGTGGGCTGTGAGGAAAGAGGTTGCCAAGGTAACTATATCCTCCTCAGTTTCCCCTCCACCCTACTCCTGCCCTTGCTAAGCACCAGAGGACTAAATTGGACCCCTCTCTGTCCTGGGATACCCTCTGCTTGGCCTGCCCTCCCCTCTGCTAGTCCTCACAGCTCTGGAGCCAGAGCCAATTTAGGGCCCCCTGCACACTGCAAGGAGGAGCCCCAGCCACTGAGCACCTCTCAGAGCCCGGTGCATAGGAGGGCTGTGCCTGTGAGGCCCGAAACCAGGTGGAGACCTGCCAGTCACCTGGAAAGTCGAGAGTGGTGATGGAAGTGATGGTGTCCCACGCACCACATTCCTGAGCTTTTAGCTGTAGCCAGCCGGGCACCCGGTCAGCAGAGCAGCCTTTGCTCACTTTCTTCCCCAGTGTTCTCTCTGTGAGAGGCGGGGGCGACAGGCTGACATTTTAGAGGGGCTGTGGAGGGTTTTATTTTCACACATATAGTCAGCACAGTTATCAAAGGAGAGCAGAAGCATGGAGAATTCTAAACAAAGGCTGCTCCAGAAGTCACTCTGGCAGGCAGCAAACCTGCTGAGTCAGCTGCCACATGTGTAGACACCGCACCCATCACCCCTAGCCACCTGAGTCCTGGGCAGGAAGGGCCATGGCCCACTATGTGTAGATGGACATGAGTTGAACGGGTGCACAGCCATTGCATTTATGTGAATCTGTGGTTTAGAATAGGGGGACCTCACTGTTCATCTAATCTCTCGTTTTGCAAAGAGGGAAACCAGCCATGGGAGGAACAGGGTCACATAATATTAGTGGTAGGTGAACCCAGAACCCTGGTCTCTGCCTCCTGGCTCTGGACTCCTGACTGAACGATACCATCCCCCTCCTGTCTCACCTTCATTGTGTTGATAGATTCCAGGCCCTTCCATTAACATTCTGGAGTCAGTCCAGTCCCAGCCCAAACCTGAGATTTTAGTGTGAGGAGACAGAAAAGAGATCTAAGTTAGAAGGTGGCGGAAAGGTGTGAGCTAGGCAACCAGTGGGGGCAGAGTGACTGCTGTCAGAGGAGGTCAGTCAGTCCTTGGATCTCGTTGGCCCTTGCACCATGAGAGGTCTGTTTCCCAGTTTCCCGCATCCATGTCACATGTCCTCTCTCCGTAGGCAGAAGAGAGGCCAGCACCATACCTCAGAAGCCCGGGAAGGAGGCCGGGAGCCCCCAAGCCTTGACACTGTCACTGCAGAGCGACATTACCCAGCGCATCCTGAGTGAGCCCTGGCCCCTGAGCGAGGCCCAGGTTCAGGCCTCGGTGGTAAAGGTCCTGACGGAGCTGCTGGAGCAGGAGAGGAAGAAGGCCGTGGACGCCACTAAGGAGAGCAGCAAGAAGAGCCACAAGCGGAAGCTGTCAGGAGACCAGGCGGCTGCCAGGGCCCCTAGGAGCAAGAAGAAGAAGCAGCTGGCAGAGAAGCAGCTGGCAGACGGGGAGGGTGCTGTTTCCTCAGAAAGGGCCCCCAGGACTGCCAAGGGGAAATCTAAGAGAGACCCAGCCAGTGGCGACAGCAAGGAGAAGGAGGCTCCTGGGGCCCGAGGGGCTAAGGACAAGCCAGAAGGGGAGCTGGAGACGGTGAAGGTGGAGGGTGGAGGCCAAGCCAACCCAAAGAACAAGAAGGAGAAAAAAAAATCTGACAAGAGTAAGTGGCCGTCAGGCCAGAGGGCACTGCCCCAGTGCTTTGCTGAGGGCTGTCCTGTCTGTCACCATGCAGGCGGAGCGGGCCCTCAGCCAGCACAGAAGGGCCAGGCTGAGGGACGGTTTGTCCGGGGTCATGGGGGACAGCTATTGACAAAGGCAAAACGCCCCCAGAGCATCTGGGCCGGCGCAGGCAGGGTGACCCTGTACTCCAGGGTGTGGCCGGTTCCCCACAGTGCTCACTGCACTTGCAGCTTCAGGCTTCTCAGGGGTCCGTGCTCCTGGACAGCAGCTTCCAGCAGAGATAAAGCTGCTCCTTACCGAGCTCTGTGCTAGACTCTGCATGTGGTGGGACCTCATTGAACCCCGTGTAATAGGCGGTATCTCATCACCACTTTACACTCAAATAAACGTGGAAAAGTGAGAGAACTAGTGATACTCCAGGTGGTCCGTGGCCAGGGCAGAAACTCCAAGGCCAGGACAGGTGGTCACAGAATCCCAGGGGCCCGTTTTCGTGGCTCCCTGGGTGATGGGGAGAGCTGGGGACCCAACATCAGGAGGAGTGACTTCTAGGATCCCCAGAGACCTGCCCTGGGTGTCTCCTCACGTTGGCCCCAACGCTAAAGCTTAATACCTGTTGTTCAGGAAGTTTGGTTTTTCCCCCCAGAAAAAAAAGACAAGGAGAAGAAGGAAAAGAAGAAGAAAGCCAGAAAGGCCTCAGCCAAAGACCCCGACTCCCAACTCCAGAAGAAAAAGAAGAAAAAGGTAGTGAGTGCGTTCCCTGGGGCTTCGGGCCGGAAAAAGACCCATCCCAGCCCCATTCTGTGCCTGTCAGGCGACAGGTGGGAGCCAGACCAGGTTCCTGCTCCTGCCTCTCTGTGTGTGTGTGTGTGTGTGTGTGCGCGCGCGCGCGCACGCAAGCTGTGACACTAGAGAAGAGTCAGCGGAGTTGGGACAGGACTGTGCGTGCGGAAGTTATTGAAGCGAGCCTGCCTTGTCTGAGATAGGAGGATATTCTTGGGGCGGGTGAAGGAAGACAGGCCCCAGGAGACAGGGAGGCTGGACAGGCTTCAGGTAGGAGAGGAAACGTTCCCTGGGATGTGTGTGCCCCGGCTGGCAGGGACCCTCCACAGAAGCACTCGAACGTCTGCTTCCTACTAACTGGAAGGCAGGGTGTGGGGGACTTAGCACCTGTACAGAACGAAGCTGTCACTGGCCCACAGGGCCTCGGCTGTGTTTAGGGAAGCTGAACATCCATACTGCCCAGTCCTGGGCTCCTTCCTTGAGAGAGTGCTAGGCACCGTTCCTGTCCTCTGGGATCCCCCAACATCTGTTCTAAGGGGCCTCGGATCCTCAGGAGGCAACCCTCATGCCCTCCAGGTGGGGATGGCATGAGTGGGGAGATGCTTCAGATAATAAGAGCCTCTCACCTTCTCTCCTCACAGAAGAAGACAGAACAGCAGACTGTCTGAGGGGCACAAGGCGGCAGGTATGCTGCTCCCTGAGGGACCCTTGCTGACCATCCAATCCCTGGGGGGGCAACTCCAGCATTGCCATGGTCCCAGGGAGCCAGGCAGGACCTGGTAGGTGGGCCCCAAGGGAAAGGGGTGGAGAAAGAGGTTCTGTCCCTCAAGGTCAGTGGAGTGATGCCAGGAGCTAGAGCTGCAGAGCAGTCGGGGCCATGGCCAGTGCCATGTGCTCCCAGATACAGGCTCTGTGCAGGCCTTAGGAGGTAGGTGCCGGGATGGCACACCTGGATGAGAATGAGGCATGAGCTCCGTCTCCCTCGCTGCCGTCCAGTTCCTTTTCCTCATGATCATTAACTGGAGGGCATTTGCTCGTGGGAAAGAAGATGGTTTGCCCAAGACGAGCCATTCAGCAGGCCTGTGCTTCCCAGGTGGTGGTGAGGGGATTACTTGCTCCACGCTGAGCAGGCCCAGCAATCACAGCCTGCTGTAAGCAGGGCCACGCAGAGCCTGCCTGGGCTGGTGGCAAGGACTAATGAAGTTAGGCACTCAACCCACCTCCCGGGGCATGGCCCATGCCAGTGTCCACTGGTTAGTGCCCGTCCCCTGCATCCAGATGCCAGGTTTGATTTGATTTGATTCTCCTTGATGCAGAAAAAAGTCAGGAAATCTTCCATCTAGATGTTTCCTTCCCCCAGGGATTTCTTAGCCTCGTGGTGCCCAGCCCCGTGCCTCTGCCCTCTGCCCACCGTGGGTTGGAATGAATTTTTCATTTCCCCTTCCTCCCCAGAAGAAGACGGCCAGCCGCAGTGTCCATGCTGGCCCAGCCCATGAGCCCTGCATAGGTTGGTCCGAGGAAGAAGTAGTGCTCCCAGTTCTGAGATCTCCACTCACTAACGCCACGCCTGACTTCTATCTGGACCAGGACACTGCGTATAGATGTGTACAGTATATATATTTTTTTAAGTGCCCTGCCCCCCCTTCTCAGACCCAACGTGCCCAGAGGCCTCGGGACCTTCCACCTCTTTCCCCTGCAGACCCACTGAGGCCCAGCCTTCCGCTCCTTTCATGTCCCTGGTCCCTGGCTAATGCTGAGGGTTTGTCCTCATTTAGTCGGTTTTTCCCCATTTCGTGTTTTTGTAAGAACTCAGAAAATAAAAGACTTGAGGGAAAGGTGCAGGTTCCAGTGCACCAGGGCAAACGTTTTGCAATCGACTTATTCTTGGGAGTCTGGCTGACACTTGGAGGTAAACAAACCATCACTCAGGATTTGTTCTTGACTACATATCGAGGCTCTGGGATGCTGTGCTAAATGGGACAGTTTGTCTTAGTTAAGTATCTGATACTGAATTGGTGGGGAAGGCTTCCTGGAGGAGGTGGCATCGTAGCTAAGAGGGAGCTTGAGTATGGTGATGGTTGGTTGCCAGATGCTGGGGTAGGGCAGGCAAATACCCAGAGGCAAAGAATGGCAGGGGGCCTTCTAAGCCACCTTTCGAAGTTGCAGGTTAGGACTGGAGCTTGGGGCAGGCCCTTTTGAGGTACCTGGTGGAGAATGGCTGTGGCAGGCACAGTAGGAGCAGAAAAACCAGTTAGGACTGAGTTGCCCTTGTGTCCAGGTAACAAAGGTTCTGAAACAATGAAGGCAGAAAATAGATGAACTGGAAAGATACGTGAGGGTGCCCTCTACAGAACTTGGTGATGGCCAGCAATGCAAAGGCCCACTTCCCTGGGCCCAGAGCAGTGTGAGCACTTGAGGTCGGGAGATTTTTCTCCAAGGTGTTTAGCCTTCTGCTAGAGACAGCAAAAGACCATGCAGAAAAAGTGAGCACTGAGCTGGGGTTGGAGACAGAGGTTGGCATCTACTGTACCCTTAACCCAGGGCCCCTGGGCAAGGCCCTCATAGCTCCTCACTCCCCTTACGTGTGCTAGAGGGGTGTCCTGCTGGGCTTCGTTGAAACAGAGGCTTTACACTGAACATTCTGATCGTGGCCTCCTCTTGAAAAGTCAAGAAATTTGGCAACAGGGACCTCTGCTCCCTCCTAGCAACAACTGCCTGGTGTCCTTGTATTGTTGCCTTTGTCATCACGTTTGACTTCTTAGTCTAGCAATGAAAATGGGAGTGTGGGAAAATGGAAACTGGACCAAGAGGAGTTTGTGCTTAAAGAACTTTGGGCAAGAGCCAACTTCCTTTTGGAAGCAGGATGTTCCTCTGGTTAAACATGGAAACCAAATGTGTCTGTGTCCAAAGACTACAACACCCCAGCCCTGCCTGGTCCCACAGGCATCTGTGTTTGGGCTCCCGGGGTTGCATCCTCCCACCCAGATCACTGGATCCAGGATCTTCAGTCAACAAACCAGATCCCAACAGAACAGCCGGGAACCAAAAGTGTTCTACTTACTACATTTTATTCTTACAGAAGCCATGTTCCTAAGGGCTGATGACAAGCTTGCTGCGCAAAGGGAACTGGGCTTTGGCAGAGAGTGAGAAGGGGTTGTGGTGGAAAGGCTGGCTCTTTAGGGGAGAGGGAAAGGGTGGCTTGTGCCCCCAGTTACATAGGCTGGGAAGCCAAGGCTAAAGCCGGAAGGGGAGGAACGTCGTCTCCTCTGCCTGCACCGGCTCTCCTCGTTCATGGGCCTAGGGCTTGAAACTCCAGGTTGCGGGCTGCTGTGGTGTCAGAAATGGGAGTCAGCCTAGCTCATGGTCCACCTCCTTGGGCCTTGTGTCCCTGTTGGTGGATGGGGACTTGGGCAGCAGGGCCCTCCTATATCATTAGTCTGTGCTCTTGATGTGATTTGTTGTGTCCAGAGATGATGGAGAACCAGGCACCAGTGTCTCATGGAATGAGGTGCAGGGTGGGAGACGGTGGGGGCAGGGCATATAAGGGGAGGAATATGGGGCTAGGGTTGGGGGACAGAAGGGAGCAAGGAAGTTCTGGCCATGCAGGGCTGACTGGGTGCCGGTGTCCTTGATTGCTGTTCTCACATGATGGCTACAGAGAGATAAGCAGCAGGTTAGGGTTGGAGTCACCTGTTGTCCCTGCCCCTTCCCAGCATACTGGGGCCTCAGAGCAGTCGCAGACTCTACCGTCCATTGCTCCCTGCTCGGGTACAAGTTCTGACTATCATATAGCCACCCACAACTCTGTTCCTCATCCCTGAAGTGGACATCTCAGGAAGGTTCCTGGAGAACGGACCAGGGTCATGCCACGCTGGGCACCCACCCATGAGGGAGTTGGCCCAGCTGGGGACTGAATCCCCTCTGGAGGGGCCCTTACCTTGGACCAGATCCTGCTTGGTCACGCCCAGCCCGGACGACAGATCCTCCATGTCCAGTGGCTCTGCAAAGGAACAGCAAGGCCATTTGTTACTTGTAGTCCAGCTACTGTACCCACTGGTGAGGGGCCTGGGGTTACTTCTTCCCAACCTGGCCGCAGGACTATCCTGGGAGAGCAGGCGCCGCCTGGAAGGGTGCTTGCTGGATGGTGGCAGTGAGTGTAGTTGGGGAATTGAGAAGGAGGCCAAGAAGGGGGGTAATGAGATGAAATTAAATGAGGGGATGAGTGTGGGTATAAGGAGAGAAATGGTAGATGGACAAACAGATGAGGGATGCACAGGTAGATAGATGGACAAAGCGGTGGATGCACAGCTGAGTGGCTGCCCCCCTGGACCTTACACCTTGAGTGTCCTGGCTGCATGTGTGCCAGGGGGGACCTCTCATCCCTCAGCCTTCCTAGTCCTTCCTGCTCCTTTGACACTCCCTGGCACAGTGGCCACTGCTTACCACTGCAGTTATGGCGCCCACGACTCCTGGTGTGGGGGACCTCGGTGCCGTTGGGGAAGACGCACCAGCAGTAGCCAATGCTCCCATAGCACTGGAGCGGCAAATAGTTGCCGTTCTCGTCGCACTGGGGCTTGAACCTGCCCGGGTGGATGGCGGGAATGCGGCTCGCCTCTTCCAGGCACTTGGTCAGTACTAAAGCGACAGGCATGGTGAAGACAGTGAGTGGACTCTGAACCAGGGTCTCAGCAGAACAGAGATCCATATACCACTGCTGGGAGCCTAATGCCTTCCGCCCAAGTGGCTGTACTCACTCTACCCAACGCACAGATGGGGAAACTGAGGACTGGACCAATAAGGCCCAAGGTCAAAGAGGAAGTGAATTACTGTGTGGCTAATTCATCCAAAAATTTGATGATTTTTTCTGACACTCCATGCCTATTAAAGTTTGAAATTGCACCCATGATTCTGATTTCCAGGGAAGAACAATGAACACATTGGTAAGTCTGAGCTTCCATTACTGGGGGTATCCAAGCAGAGATGAGGGTTTGTTTGCGGATGTTGTAGAAGGGATTCAAACATCAGCTGGGAGTTGGTCGCAACAGCATCTAAGATGCCTTCTGAGTCTGTGATGGAAAATCTGAGGCCCACACGGGTCTTCTACTTCCAAAATTGAAGCCCAGAAGGAACAGATGCCCAAAGCTGCTTGGCAGATTATCACCAGGATTAAAATGCAACATTCTTCAAGGCCTCAGAGCTGAAAATCGTGGTACACATTGTCCATAAGATGGAAAAAACCAAGGCTCTCTTGTCTGGCGCTGTCTGTGTGACCTCAGGAGGTCCCTCTGAGGGGTGGGGCAGGTCATTGCAATGACTCTTGGGATGTTCCAGGTGGTTTCTGCTCCAGGTCCACTTGCCCAGTGCCACCCTCCACAAGCAAAGTCACCTCCAGACCTCTGTACCCTGTAGGCCCTCAAGACAGGATGTGGGCTTGGGGTGGGGGCAGCCAAGCCCAGAAGGAACAGGCAGGAGAGACAGGAGTGAGAGTTGAGAGGCTGGGAGAGTCCAGTTGGATCAGGGAGTGCTCTGGGCTCTAACTTCAGTGCTCTCTCTGGGAGAGCTCTGAGGTCCCAGGCGCCCTAGCACCCAAGGCCCCCAACTCCCTGTACCTTTTGGTGAACCTTCAGTGAGCTTCTCCTCCGGTGAGTTCTTGCTCATTTCAAACAAAAGCCACTGATGCATCCAGCTCTCAAAGACCTAACGGGACAGAGGCAGGGAGTCAGGCTCAGTAGCCCTCTCCAACCCTGCCTGGCTTTGCCCCTACGGGCAGAGACATGGAGGGCCAGTCAGGGCCCCTGCACCCCAGGGTCCAGCCACAGCCTGGTTCCCCCTTAAAGACCCACAGGGCTTGATTAAGTTGGCTCCTCAACTCCAAGCATTTTCTGCATTGGGGGCTTTTTAAGTTCAGGTGAGCCTCCTCCAGTTTCCTGAGAATGGCCTCCCAGGCTCACCCTTCACCTCGCCTCCCCCCAGCCCTGCCCTAGACATCAGGGGAGAGGGTGCCAGTGCAGGGAAGCCTGCTAACCTTCCAGTCCAGGCCATCCATGGTCTTCTTAAGGTATTTCAGGTTCTCTGGGAAGCTCCCCTTCAGCTGTGGGTACACCTTCAGGGGATCAGCCCTCTGCAAGGTAGCAGGGCAGGAAAGAAGGTTAAAAAGAGCTCCCTGGCAGGTAAGGTGAAATGTGCAACCCATGTTTCCCTGGTGTTCCATTCTGCAACAAATTTGGACCCTGAACCTCAGCCATGATGGAGCTTGGGGGACGGCAGATAGTAAAGGCAATCTAGCTGCACAGCTACAAGACCCCAAGGCTAGAAGGTGGGAGACCTAGATTCCAGGACCAGTTATACCAGTAACCCCTATCTTCTAGTCCTTACAGATACCTACTCACCTTTCAGGTCACACCTCCTTCAGGAAGACTATGGACCCCACCCCCAGCTAGGTTGGGTCCTCTGCATCTTTCCTCACGCCACCCCCTGCATGTCCATCATTGCCTGGTCACTTGCCCGTTTCCCATGCTAACCTGGGATCCCCATGGGATTGGGACCTGGGTCTGATTGCTCCCCCTTGTGGGCCCAGAGCCTTTCACAGTGCTTGGCACAGAGTAGACATGCAGTAAAAACTTAGGAAGGAAAAAATGGGTGCCTCGGTTTCTCCATCTCAAACACTCAGAAAAGGTGGGAGAGTGGCAGGACTGGAATACATACAAGGTTTAAGGGCCCTCTTGTTCCTTCCCTAGTTTGGTGAGCCCATACTGAATGTCTACTATGAGCCAGGCAAGGTGTGGGTCTTAGACCGTGGCCTTGCCAGGGGCCTGTGTGGGCAGGCAGGGCCCCCGGCCGGGTCCCACTCACCAGGAGCTGGTGCATCACATGGTCCAGTGTGCTGTTGCCGTACTTGGTGGCGTTCTGCATGGGCTGTGAGAGAAGGGGGGCAGGGGTTACCAGCACTGGCCCCCAGAGGGGAGAGGCCCTGGCATGGAGGCAGCAGCTAGGGCCTGGGTAAGAGCCTAGAGCCCCAGATCCTCCACAGGCCATCTCTGCAACCTCCAAATGTGAGAGCTCAAGCAAGTCACTTGACCTTTCTGCCTCGATGTCCTTGTTGGTCAAATCTGCATACACTTTCCCACCCAGGACTTTGTGAGAGCAGGTCATTTGGTGAATAGTAACATTACCCATGCATAAGGGCTTTGAGAACAGGAGGGAGCCATGAGATGCTATGGGTCATGAGAAGCACCTTGTCAACTTGCCCTCCCATCATGGGTGGCCCCAAGAGACACTCCCCCAGCCCTGGGATTCCTCTTCTCCCCGAGTTGGGCCCTGTCCTGCCCCAGCAGTCAGGACCCCCTCCCCAGCCTGGTTTTTCCTGAGTCTCCCCTGTCCCTTGGCACCTGCCCTCCATCCAGGCTAGATAACACTTGCCCCCTGCACTGCCCTGGGGTTGTCCTTACCCCCTGCATCAGGCCTTCCATGGGCAGCGCCTGCATCAGCATGGGGGTGGCTATCCGCATCTTGCTCAAAGTCTTGGCAGCTGTGGGGTCAGGAGGTACAGCATGAGCGTGGCCCCCGTGCCCAGGGAAGAGGGTACTCACATCAGGGACCCAGGATCTCAGACCCTGATGAGGAGGGACTGCAATTCCAGACCAGGAGAGGCCAGTGGGCCCCGCCAGGTGCAGGAATGGGGTCTCTGAGGTGAGGGATGGTGGGGTGGGGGATTCTCAGGGTGGAGGTAGGGCACGCACGCTTGGGAAGCTTCATGCGCAGGCTCTCCAGCTGCAGGTTCTGCGAGGTGACCGTCAGCTTGTCCAGCCGGCCCTGCTGCTGGTACAGGAAGTAGGCGGTGGTGGCTTGACCAGCCAGGAGCAGAGCCACCAGGACAGAAAAGCCTGTGTACAGGGCTCCACGGCTGCACTTGCTGTTGGGGGAGGGAGGGTAAGTCAGAGGAGAGTCCATGCAGGTGGCTGCCCCGAGGACTGGCTGGGAGTGGGGAAATGTGTCCCCCATTTCCGCCAGCCCACACACCTCAGCTACCCCTAACACACACACTTCGGCACAAACAAGTCCCTATGGATGGACGTGCAGCTTAAAGACATTCCCCCGGCCCCTACTTCCAACCGTTGCTGGGCCAACAGCCCTGAGTTGAAATCCTGGAGCTGCCCCTGGGCCTAGACTGTGTGGGAAAGAGCCAGGAACAAGTGCCTTGTTTGCTCTCGGCTTCAGTCCCACCTGTGCAATGAGGGGTTGAGGTGGAAGGTCTCCCCAGGTTCCCTCTGCACGGGGTCTCCTGAGGATCAGCTCTGCCCTCAAGGGGGAGGGGGGTCTTACCCTCCTACCGGCCCAACCCCTGCAGGGAAGTCAGAAAAGGGAAGGAAGTGGGACCTGGACAGCAGGCAGCAGAGCTTGCACGCCCACCTGAAAAAGAGGTGTGAGGCCTTGACATTTTAGGGTTAGGTTGGGGGCATCGGACAATGCCAGGCTGGAGCAGGGCCAGGAACCGCCCCCACTGGCCCAGACTCTCCACATGTCTTTGAACAAGTCTCTGCCATTCTATGGGCCTGTCACATGGGTGCCTCTGACCTCAGCAGCTCTAGGATTTGGTAGTTTTTGGAGAGCTGAGTGCAGGCACAGTAGTATTTCAAATGGTAATGTCCTCTCAGGAGGGATTTCTGTGGGAGTACATACAGTGCCTGAACCTGCGTGACCCGGGAGAATTTCTCACGTTCTCTGGACTGGCCAGCTGCACAGGGAGGGGTGGCCAGACCTGACCTCAGGGGGTCCTAGCAGCGTTGGCCTCGGATGCAGTCTAGGGGGCACATGCACAAGTGACTGTGTGGGGGCTGTAAGGCTCCTGCCCCAGGACCATGAGAGTTCCTGGGCTGTTTCTCCCACCTCACCTCAGGAGTGGGGCTACTAGGGCCCCACTGGAAACTCTCAGGATGAGACTGCCCCGTTTACTCGAGCAACCAGCAAGGAGGTTTAGGAGACTCCAGGACAGCCTCCTGCCTAGTACTCATGGCATCACAGGCAGAGCTGCTTCGCACTGGCTTCCTGCTCAACAGCTCTCTGCCCTTTCTGGGCCAAGGCCCGGCCCAAGGGATTATTATTCTAGAAGAAGAAGGCAAAAACCCTGTGTGGGGAAAGGAGGAGACCAGATGGAAGGGAAAACAAATCCCACTTCTGAGGAACAGGGGTTGCCGAGCCTCCGATGGTGGTGGAAGCCCACCCGCGCCTGGGTCTTGCCTGGGTTCAAGGTTTGCAGCTCATTACCTTCATGGTCACTCCTGCAACCCCACACCCGGTCTAGTCCCAGCTAGAAAGTCGGGGAAAGCCCCTTCCCTTCTCTGAACCTCCTTTTCAGACGGGGACCCGGGCAAGTCAACCTCTCTGGGTAAGTTGAGGTAAGAACAGCTACTGGAAGGGTTGTTACATTAAATAAGATCGTGAGGGTAAAGCTCTCTCCTTTGCTAGCACTTAGCACTCCAATGGTAACATTGCTACTCTCAAGGGAGTTAATAGTTAACTTCAACATCTGGCTTCCTTCCTCTTTATACATCTTGAATGCCTGTCCCCTGGGTCCTGGACCAGGGCCAAGTCATCGCCCCCTCTTCACTTCCTCCTTCAGTAACAATAAGTAACTGGCCAAAGTCAGGAGCCAACCAGAACCAGCAGGAACGATGATTCAGACGTTGCCAGGCAGAAGGGTTCGCGAAAGGGTCTGAAACTGGCTCAAGTCTGGAATGGCCTGAGCACACAGGGCCAAGCCAATTTTAGAAGCAGTAACTGAGCTAAGGAAAACCAGACAAGGGTTTGACGAGGGGGGCAATCTCTCTGTACCCTGAGCCCACACTGGGTCTGCAGCTCTGGGCGGCCTCAGCTCACCTCCCCTCTCTGCGAATTGTACCTCTAGAAGGGGACCAGTTGGTGGTCAGCTCAAACTTTGAAGCCAGACTTACCAAAATGAGCCTCGATTTCCTCATGTAAACATGAGGATAATAAAAGAATCTGACTCATAGGGTTACCGTGAGAATTAGGATTGAGTTTAGCACTTGGTTATGTGTCCATAATTACTAGCAGTGGCTGAGACCTGGTAACAAGTACACAGTGAATGGGAACTATTATCATGAATGTTGTATTATTATTATTACAGAAAGAAGCAGTGATTTATCCAAGTTATATGTGAGAGTACAGAACTTGGACCAGAATCCAACCATCACAAGAAAGCTGGCTCGCCCTCCTAGTCCTAGGATGCCCCAGGATGCCCCATTGCTCTGATGGTCTGTATTGGTTACCCATCCCCCAGAATGTAGGTCCACATGACATCTGAGTGTCTCTCTGAAACTCCCCTCTGCCTGGCAACAGCTGACATCACATGTAGCTGTAAACCCAGTAATTCACAAATTACCTTTTGGAGATTAGGGAGAGCAGGGGACATTATGGTAACTGCACTATAGCTCACCCCCCCCCTTTTTTTACAGGAAAACACATGGGTGAGGCTATCTTGAGGCTGGGGGGGGCCCTCTAGATGGCCCCTTGCTGCAAGGGAGAGGGGCACAGGCAGGACACAACCCACATCAACCTTCAGCCCCTTCTAGAAATTTAGCCAGAGCCTCCCTTGCCCATTTTTTACCCCCTCCCAACATCTCTTAATCCCTCCTGTGGTGGCCGGTGTCTCCATCTACTCTACAGACACCTGCAATTATAATTTCCTGTTACAAACTCATGTACCCATCTGTGGTTATTAGGAGGGAACTCTGCGATGAGCTGCTCTACCATTCTTTCAGAAACTTTGCTTCTCCACCTAGAATCTATAACATTTTCAAAATCTGGTCCAAAATTCCTAACCGAGGGTTCACGGCCCAGCTTCAGGGGGGTTCGTGAAGCCCCGGATACCCTGTGAAACTCTAGGGAAAGAGCCCAGAGCTCCCTTATGATTTTCAGAAGGGAAGTTCATGATGTAAAGTTAAAAGCCCTGCGCTGGAGGAGCTCCCGCATTTTACAGGAGGGAGAACTGAAGCCCAGGGCAGGCCAGACTCGTTTAAAATCACCCAAACATTGTTCAGGTCAGAGCCCAACTCCACGCCTCCCGGGCCCGGGTCTGGCGCTCCCTCCCAGCCAGCGCCCCTGCGCATCTGCGCAGCCCAGGGTTCGCGTGCCCTCTCCCGCTGCTCACACCCACCTCTCCTGGGCCGCGGGGCGCTGGCCCAGCATGGGCAGCTGCTCGTGGTTGGAGATGAGGTCGCGCTGGTCTTCCATGGTTCTGGCCTCTGGTCTAACCCAAGCCTCTCGCTGCTGCTGCTGCTGTCTCCTGCGCGTCTGAGACCCTGAACCCGCGGCTCACTTCTTGAAGTTGGGGCCGAGGAGAAATCTGATTCGTCCGCAGGAGGCCACTCCACCCACCTGGTAGAAGTGGAAGTGAAAGCCACAGAGCTGGAAATACCCTGACTTGGGCAAAGCTGCCTTTGATGGAATAGGATAGATGCGGGGGCTCCCCGGCAGGTAGAAAGGCCAACGAGCTTCCATTGGCCGCCGGCGCCTTCATCACTTGTTTCTGGGCAGGCCTTTGGATTCGTGAGGCTCTTTGAATGTTTTGAGAAACATCACTCCCTAGACAGGAAATCATTTTGAAGCAGAAAATGCCTTTGTCGCCCTTTCTCACCCCTTGATCTGTGGAGACAGAAAGGAGCTGCTCACCCTCTGTGCGTGTAGAGAAGGCCCTCTCCATCTCTCTGGCCTCAGTTATAGCACCTCAAAAACAGGGGTGGAAAGTTGGATTCAGTTCCCTCTGCTCCCTTCTAACTCAAGCATTTTATGAACCTGAGTCCACGATTCTAATATTTTCCACTATGTACTAAGCCCACCTTTGTGCCAGGCCCTGTGCTAATTGGTTTACATATTTTGTTCCACTTAATTTTTATAGTGACCCTTTGAGGACTTCTATTTTTTTATCTCCATTTACAGATAGAGACATGTAGGCTTTGAAAGGCCAAGTGCTTGCCCAGGATCATGCATCCAGGAATTAGTGAAGTCCATGTTTTTAACCACTGTTCCCTCTGCCTCCTAATGCTCAAATTGTGTGGATCGAATTCAGGAGGAGGAAAAGAGGGGCGACTGGGAAAGGGTACCCAAGGGAGATTTAACTGTGTTGGCAAGGTTTTATTTCTTATTATCTGTGGCTTGTAGACAATGTTTGTTTTATTAATCTTATGTCTTTTGTGTGTTTTTGAATTAGCATTAATAATTTTTTTTACTTTAAAAACTTTGTGGTTGTAAGGTTCAGTGAATCTTAGATTTCAAGAGACAAGGGAGATTGTGTATATATATATGTATGTATTGGGGGGTGGGGGGAAGAGCAGACATGGCCTTTGATGCAGCCAGACCTGAGTTCAAATCCCAAGTCAGCAACATCCTAGCTGTGTGGATTTTGGTCAGTCCCTCGACCTTTGCATGTTGATTTCCTCCTTTGTAAAGTACGAACAATAATACTAAATTTGCAGAGTTGTCAGGTTAAATAAGCATTTAGCACAGAGCCTGGTGCAATAGGAGATGCTCAAGAAATGAAACTGTTATTATCCAAATATTTGCTATTAAGATATTTTCTGCCCTGATTGCAAACTATACGATGACTCTCTAATAATCAAAACAGGACGGTACTGGCATGAAAACAGGCACATAAGTCAATGGAACGGAATAGAGAGCCCAGAAATAAACCCGAGCTTATGTGGCCAATTAACCTGCAACAAAGGAGGCAAGAATATACAATGGAGAAATGCTATCTCTCTTCAACAAGTGATTTTGGGAAAACTGGACAAATACGTGCAAAAAATTAAACTGGACCACTCTCTTATACCATATATTATATAAAAGTAAACTCAAAAATGGATTAAAGGCTTAAATGTAGGACCTGAAACCATAAAATTCCTAGAAAACATAGGTAGTAAACTATTTGACATTAGTCTTGTAATATTTTGGGGTGTATGTCCCCTCAAGCAAGGGCAACAAGCAAAAATAAGCCAATGATACTCCATCGAACTAAAAGGCTTCTGCACAGTGAACGAGACCAATAGCAACATGAAAAGGGAGCCCGCTGAACGGGGGGAAGAATTCACAAGTGACGTAACTGACAGGGGCCTGGCACCCAAATACACAAGGGAATCCATGCACCTCGATTGTTAAAAATGAGTAATCCGGTCAAAAAACAGGCAGCGGGCATGAAGAGACATTTCTCCAAATCAATAAAAACATATACTCAGGTGAGGGTTTGAAAAAAGAAGAAACCCTCTAAGATAAAAGAGAATGAACAAAACAAGTAGCCAAACCCCCAAAAAAGCCCCATGGAAGGAACAAATGGAGACAAAGGCCACATGGCACTCACAAAACAAGAGTCGGGTGCTATGAAGGTCTAAGTCATATTATAAGAGCAAAACCACAGCTATTTAAAATTAAAAATACAAGGGCAGGTATTAATCAATCAGTAGATGGAAAATAAAGTTTTTTAAAAGTCTCCCATAAAGTAGACCGTAAAGATAAAAAGAAAGAAAAGAGGGAGAAAAGATAAGAGAACTAAAGACCAGTCGAGGAGGCCCAACAGCCAAATATCACAGTTCCAGAAATAGAGAACAGAGAAAATCAAGGGGTGGGGGAAGGTAATTCTGCACAATTTCCAGAACTCAGACGTAAATTTCCAAACTAAAGGTATAAAAATAATTTCTCACTAAGGCAAATCATCGTGAAGTTTCAGAAAAAATAAAGACAGAAAGAAGATTCCACAAACTTCTAGAAAGGAAAAAAACAAGACAGATACAAAATACCAAGAATCTTTTTTTTTATTTTAAATACCAGGAATCAGAATAACTTTGGACTTTTTAACAGCAACCCTGGACACCAGAAAATAATGAAGTAATGCCTTCAAAATTCTATGGGAAATTATTTCTATCCAAGAATGCTTACTAAGCCAAAATATCAAATAGGTGAGCATATTAAGATATTTCCTGACATTCAATATCTCAAAAAATTATGTTTTCTCAGCTTCAGGAAGGTATGCTCAACCAAAATGCAGGAGTTCACTAAAAATAAAGGAAGACCTGGGACATGGGAAACTGAAATTCAACTCCGAGAGGGAGTGGGGACCCCCAGGATGACAGAACAGAAAAATCCCAGAGCAAAGCAACAGATCCACATTGGATCAGCCTGAAAGCTCTAACAGACATTTCCTCAACAAGTTAGACTGATAGATATCGGATATGCCTGAAAGTACTGAGGGGTAAGTTAGATCATTTTTGGAGAGTGTGAGGCTGAATTATGAGANAAGAAGAAACCCTCTAAGATAAAAGAGAATGAACAAAACAAGTAGCCAAACCCCCAAAAAAGCCCCATGGAAGGAACAAATGGAGACAAAGGCCACATGGCACTCACAAAACAAGAGTCGGGTGCTATGAAGGTCTAAGTCATATTATAAGAGCAAAACCACAGCTATTTAAAATTAAAAATACAAGGGCAGGTATTAATCAATCAGTAGATGGAAAATAAAGTTTTTTAAAAGTCTCCCATAAAGTAGACCGTAAAGATAAAAAGAAAGAAAAGAGGGAGAAAAGATAAGAGAACTAAAGACCAGTCGAGGAGGCCCAACAGCCAAATATCACAGTTCCAGAAATAGAGAACAGAGAAAATCAAGGGGTGGGGGAAGGTAATTCTGCACAATTTCCAGAACTCAGACGTAAATTTCCAAACTAAAGGTATAAAAATAATTTCTCACTAAGGCAAATCATCGTGAAGTTTCAGAAAAAATAAAGACAGAAAGAAGATTCCACAAACTTCTAGAAAGGAAAAAAACAAGACAGATACAAAATACCAAGAATCTTTTTTTTTATTTTAAATACCAGGAATCAGAATAACTTTGGACTTTTTAACAGCAACCCTGGACACCAGAAAATAATGAAGTAATGCCTTCAAAATTCTATGGGAAATTATTTCTATCCAAGAATGCTTACTAAGCCAAAATATCAAATAGGTGAGCATATTAAGATATTTCCTGACATTCAATATCTCAAAAAATTATGTTTTCTCAGCTTCAGGAAGGTATGCTCAACCAAAATGCAGGAGTTCACTAAAAATAAAGGAAGACCTGGGACATGGGAAACTGAAATTCAACTCCGAGAGGGAGTGGGGACCCCCAGGATGACAGAACAGAAAAATCCCAGAGCAAAGCAACAGATCCACATTGGATCAGCCTGAAAGCTCTAACAGACATTTCCTCAACAAGTTAGACTGATAGATATCGGATATGCCTGAAAGTACTGAGGGGTAAGTTAGATCATTTTTGGAGAGTGTGAGGCTGAATTATGAGAATCTCATAGAAAATTAAGCAAATGAAAAACCGAAACAACTTTTTTTTTTAAAATATATCTTTATTGATTTCAGAGAGAGGAAAGGAGAGGGAGAGATAGAAACATCCATGATGAGAGAGTCATTGACCGGCTGCCTCCTGCACACCCCCCGCTGGGGATCGAGCCCACAACCCGGGCACGTGCCCTGACCGGGAATCGAACCGCGATCTCCTGGATCCTAGGCCGACGCTCAACCGCTGAGCCACGCCCGGCTGGGCCAAAACAACTCTTAACTCATGGGAACACAGAAGTTCTAGGAGATGAACAGTGGTCCCAGTGTACTGTGCAGCTCAGCTCTGAGGAGCATGCACATTGTCATAAAACGGTAAACGCTGGAAGGAGACAGAGTGACAAGAAGGAAGGCTTGGTATCTGCCACACCCTTAGCAAGGGACACAGGGATAAGGCAGAATTCAGCTCCCCTCATTGTTTATACAGAGACAGTCTGGCTCAGAGAGGGGAAAGGGACTGGCCCAAGGTCACACAACAAGGCCACACAGAGCTGGGCCTGGCCCCTGCAGTAGACATGAGTGTTAAACAAAAGAGCTCTGAGGCAGACCTCCTGGATCCACATCCCAGTTCCGAAATGGCAGATCGCAGAGCTGAAGAAGGCAGAATACAGATGAGTGGGAGACATCACTTTTCCAAAAGCAAAACAGTGTTCAAGGACTACTGGGATTTGTAAGAAAGACCCCAGAGCCAACCTGAAGGGCCCACTTGCCAGTCAAAACATAGGACCAGTCCAGCATCAGTTAGAATAATTTACCCTGCCTCTTTAGAAGGAACTATAATTCAACCCCAGTTGATGAGGGAAAACTCTTCTTTGTAGAAAAATGCAAGCTAAATAACTTAAAAGAAAAAACAGAATTAGAAAATCACCTGTTTGTAACCCCCAATGTAACAATTCAGGCAAAGACCACCAATCGATGCCAAAACCATGGGACAAATGTTTGGGGGAAACAGGATATTCACATGCCAAAGAATCATCCCAAAGTTCCTTGCTAGTTGCCAAGAGGGGCGGGTACTTTACA